CATTTTTATTAATACCTAATTATTCTCACTGTCAATATTTTTGTCCAATTTAATTATAATACATGTGAATAATTCAATAATACATTTGGAAAAACATTTGTTTTGACATTTGATGTACTTCCCTTTGACAACGGTATCATGTACCTCATGTACTTGAAATGGCCACGGTTGGCATTTAAAATGACGTTACGAATTTTCGATTCCCGTGTTTGACACAGACCAAAGTAATGCTATCTCTTTTGGCTTAAGACGGCACGTAATAGTTAAACAAAGACAATAATATGTTTATGTTTTCGACGTCGAAATGCATCATATACATATAACGTCTGATTTATATATGTCAACGTAACATGTCCTTTAGTTTCCATAGTCTAAGATTTGAAGCGACCTAATAGTGTTATTTTATTTCTCTATTCCTATTTTAAATGTTGTTATCTATAAACAAAGCATTCTTGTCATATTTAACTAATTTAGAAATATGTGACAGTTTCTTGACGTATTTACTAAAGTAATCTCAGGTCACCGAGCATAGGAAAGTAATAATTTCAAATAACAATATAATTGTAGGATCCCACTTCATTGTATAATAGCGACGAGCCGTTTTTAGTCTTGAACTCATAAATATCATCAAGTACTTAAATTTTTTAATGATATCGACTAATTTAAATCAACGTATGGACACCAAGGAAAAACCATTGGTACAACATCCTTGGGAAAAAACAATTAAGGGTAAACATTCAAATCGAATTAAATACTCTCGTAATTCGATAAACAATTCTGTTTATTCCAAACCTAAGGCAAAAAAAGATATTGATGAAGAAGACGTAAGACAAAATAAAACTAAGTTCTTAGTGGTTGGTGATAGATGTACCAGGGAATTCATCGTTTGCAAGAAATTGGTTGAAGGACTGTATAAGTATAGAAGCAAGGTCTTCGACGCCCCTGTAATTCAAGGTTGTCTTAACATACTTTTTATATTTCACACATTTTAGAATTTGTTTTAATACCTATGTACACACGACAGCACATCAAGCTTCACATTGACGTATCTTGTTACGTTGCACCGGAGGCGAATTTCGAACAAAAATGTGTAGTCTGATGTGCCGTTGTCCTTACATTTATTTTATTGATGTAAATAAAAGAAAAAATTCTTCGATTTTTTGCAAAACCGGGGCTACCAGTCACCCATATGATGCGAATGTAGGATTCAAAATACCATTGATATAACCTTCCAACGGCATCACTATTTTTTTTAATGAAAACTAGTTTAAAGAACTATAAATAATATAAGGAACGTATGTGGGTAAAGACAAAGTAACGACTGATTCACGAACTGTATGTACAGTAATTTAACACGTTACAAGACTCCAAAAGAAAATCAAAATATGCGTCTGAAAAAGTATTAATCGCACAGGTACAGCATATGAACAAAGTATAATTCCAATTCCCAACGGGTCATAGGCGCCACTTTAAAGCCAGCCTTGTCTCCAGGTGTATCAAGTGCAGAATGGCCACACTTTGCAAACGAATTTCAACTCAAATATGGCGGTCTTTCATACTGTGTCTCAAGTAAAGTTAGAGTGGTGCAGAATAATCAGTTTGTTGGAGGAGAATATGAGTTAAAAGAACTCGTCGAAAAGAAATACTTGTACCACGTTAATGTTGATTACCCTAAAGAAGCTATAGATTCATTCGTTGAATTCGTAAGATCAAGTGGTGTAAGTATATATATATATATATATATATATATATTATGATATATACATAAAATAATTCTAAATACTTCCCTTATGAAAAAGTCGTCTTTGTTAATTCAGTATGGGTTACATTTTCTTGAATATCTATTTACTTTTAGGAAATGAAACTTTTTTGGGTTCTATACAGGTCCCATGGCCACAGGTGATTGTAGAAGGACCTGTAACGGGCAGGAAACGTTGATTTGTTTGAAAAAGCAAATATGCGCGATTTAGATCGGGAAAAATGGTTTCATTTCCTATGTGTACTTACTTTGTTTCTGACAACGAATAGATACTGAAGATCGACGTAATTGCGACTTAATTTATGATGATAATGCTAACAAAATTGTATAGATATTGTAGTAATACTAAGTTTGTGTTACAGAGAGCATTTGTATATCTCAACTTTTCCATCGACGATAAGGAAATTGGGTCTATGGTTTTTATGGTAAGGATGCAGCAAATTTTCTTCGATCACTATTATAAAAGAAAATCTTTTTACAATATTTTTAGTGGTGTGATAAAAACAGGTATTGATGAATTTTGCAGATGTACAATGACATCGTTCCAATTACTTGCGAAAATTTCATGCGTCTATGTCAAATTAAAATTGGTGGTTATGTCGGTACGCCAGTTCATCGTATAGTGAAAGACGGCTGGATACAATGTGGTGGTTTTGCCTTAAAGAGCTCTGACATGAATTGTGAAAACTTTGCGGTTCCTCTCGATAGACGTGGTGTTCTTGCGATGGCCAATGATGGCAGGTAATTAAATTAAATACATATTCATTTTTCCAAATGTTCATAACAAATTAGTCATTTCTTCTTTATCATCATCAACATCAGATTACTGCAGTCCACTACTGGACATGAGCCTCTCCTAATGTGCGCCATTTCACCCAGTCCTTAGTTTATCGCATCCATCTGCTGTCAGCAGCTTTTCGCAGATCGTCATTACATCTAACTGGAAAACACTACTTTTGCCGTGCCGTGGTTTCGACTCAAGGACTCATTTCCCACGTCGGTTGCCGGTTCTTCGTCAGATATGGCGAGCCTACTGCCATTTCATTCATTCTTGTTTATCCTACCTTAGCAATGCGGAAATAAGAGATGTGACCAACTTCATGAAATTCTGAGAATTCTTGTTTTGTTTCTAAGACACGTAGATTGTTCAACACAGTTCTTCGTTCTACTACAATCGGCAACATGGATGAATTCAAGATATGTTGCTTTCGGTCAACTAATCGATGGCGAAAAAACTCTTCAGCAAATCGAAAACGTAGATACTTGGTATGAGGCACCAACAAAAAGTATATCTATTGCACAAGCAGGCCTCCTATCTATGGAGTGTCAAGACATAGCGATCAATCGCGGTACTTTAGAGTACATAAATAATCACATTGAAGATTTGGTTTCTTTGGGAAACACTCTAATGGAGGTAAGAGCTTGTCATTTACGTTTTTCTACAATAAAATGATTTGAAATGATTTGACTGGTAAAGACATAACTTCTTAGGTGTAGCGCAGCAATGTTAGTGGCACCAGTGCCTCGGATAACGCTGATGGCTTAGGTGTTAAGGGCATTCGATCGAAACGTCACTATAATTGGACCCAGTAGTGTAAATAATATTGTACAGTTCTATATTCTCACAGATAGTTTTGGATCGCATGTTCCTAACATTGGATTTCAAACGCGTAACAAGCATGGGATCGCATACTGGAGAAGACGAACGCGTGGAAGTTGTGGATAAAGATATTCGGGCAACTGAAAGGTAACTAATCACTTCATATGACTATTTCCTACAATTCTTTGGTACCTGATAGCCAGTGGTGGATTTGCAGTTTTGGCCGCCCTAGGCCTCAGGCCATGTACCTAGTCAGTACCAGCCGCCCCTTTTTCAGCACTCATCATATACTGGTAGACTACATAATTACTAACATAACTACATAATGCATTTACTTTATTGCCAACTTTTATGTAAGTCTTTTAAGACCTATAATTTTCTAGAACATTGATTTGATATATCTCCGTTAGTTTACGGGAAGCACGCCAGTAAAGCAGGGTGCGTCTGCGTGCTTCCCGTGCCGGATGCCGGATGGGTATCCGGCATGATTTTTTTGGACATCTTCAACATTTATATTTCAGCAAACTTACACAAAATCTCAATAAATCATACACTTAAATCTTGCTCATGAATCACTCTCTCTATTGGTGGCATGAAAATCCGTTCAGTAGTTTTTGAGTTTATCGCGATCAGGCAGACAGACAGACGCGGTAGTAACAATATGTAGTGATGTAGTGATTATCCATTACATTATAGATTTATTTATTTATTTATTCATTCATGGAAAACCAACAGCTTCCTACATTTCATAAAAACAGGAACATAAATGTAAAGCCAATTACAAGTTTCCACCTATCGCTTCAGACAAATCATACACGAGCGTTAAACAAACGAACAATATACAGCATTTAATAACAACATGCACTTACATAAATGTAACAATCCAATACCTGCGCTAATCGCAAATTATTTAATAAACTTAGCTAAATAGTATGTCCGTGAGTTTACGCTTTAGCGCATTAACATTACAATTGAATAGATCAACTTCCAGGTCATGACTGCTCAATACACTATCCAAGCTATATATATATATATATATATATATATATATATATATATAGTTTGATAGATAGTTAGACTTCGCTAAGGGAACTGCAATAGGGTGATAGTGTCTCACAGAACGAGTATGTGCGTGAGTCTTTACAATATTTATATACTTTGAATTATTCCTTGTTATCATCCGCCCGCATTAGCCGCCCGTAAAATCTGGCCGCCCTAGGCCTGGGTCTACTGAACCTTAGGGCAAATCCACCACTGCAGACAGCATATTAAAGCGTATACGTATCGGTTGATATACAATGTCCCAATTAATTACGTAATCACGTTACTTATATCCATTCAGGTTCCTACATGACAAGTCTGATATAGAAAAGCAATTAGGGGGAACAGAAGCTCGTAGATCTCACAGAACATCTAAGGCGCGTGAGATGTCAGCTTCTCAAAGTGAAAACGAGGATTTTGATGTAGAAGATTATGATTACGTGTCAGAAGAATATTCACTTACGAAAGAAACGGTAGCTTCAAGTATAGTCGTAAAGAAGGCACCCTATTACATCCCCTTGACAGATGTGCCATATGCAGGAGACGTTAATTCAAGCTATGACCTAAAAAAGTAAGTATAGTGAATATTTAACCATAACATCATTTTTCTTTTGTTTCTTCTTGGATCAATAACATGCGAAAATATCAACCTTAGAGTTTGAAATAGAACGTCGTAAAACGTATGTGGTAGTATTCCGAAACTGGGATTAATATCCGATTTTGGTGTTAAAAGGAATTCTAACTCCATTTGGCTCCTAAGCAGGTTATTTGGGTTATTAAAATTGCTAAAAATATGCAAACACTCATAACACAATTAGTAACGATGCATTTCGTTTACAGACTTTTAAAAGGTGACTACTGCTTGGAAAGTGACATGGTGGACCCGATTTTGGCAAATAAAAATATGAATGATCGGAGAATTCGGTCGCTGTCGTCTGATGTGTTGAACATTTATAAACAGTCATTGTCTGTTTGTGATGAAGAAGAAGAATGTAAGTATTTTTCCTCGGAGATTAACTGGGTAGTCAAATTTGCAACTTTTTATTTTTGGTACTGTTGAGGCCAATTTCGGTATAAGATAGAAATATTATGTAATTACTGAGTTAGGTCATATTTTTGGTTTTACAGTAAGTTTGAACTCCGACGACGAAAGGGAAATAAAGGCATACCTTGGGTAAGTTCCTCGTTGGCATCATTACTGAAGAGAGCTTTCAAAGATTTATTTCGGAATGGTCTGAAAGAAATGATTGAGTTTATACAAAGCTCTCAAATTGGTGGAAAGAACATTTATTTTATGAAAACTATCTCAGAAGAAAAGTATTTAAAAAAACGGCGTTAATTATATTACTGTCTTTCTTTGAAACAAAGAATACATTTCAGGGCCTATTCAGAGAAAGTCAGTTTTGCTGGTGATACAATCAAGGGTATCGCATTTAGAGCGGATGATTTCGTTTCATCATTGAAGATGAAGTAAGCGTATTCTATTATTTTTAACATAATTTTCGAACTAATCTAAACAATTCCAAAATTACTTAACGAATGTTCTAAGGTACTTCGTACAGATTTTTTCAAACTCCATTTTTTTCATATTTTGTTTAATTTTGTATTTGAATATTGAAACGGTTAATAACTACCAAATTATCGCATTTGAATATACATTGTGTTTAGCGTAATTATAATGTAAGTACATAATTACTTATCTAACAATTTTAGTTTGGTGACATTAAAAATAAGTAAAATAAAGTTTCGTTCTTTGGAGCAGGCTAAGGCGACTAATATGTATAATAAGCAATACTACTGGATCTTAGATTTAAATTTTTTAATTTTCTAATTTTTTTCGCGGGTAATCGTTATATCTTTACAGTGGCCATTTTGATAGGTACTCCTTTCGGATTTGAATTGAATTTAAAAATTTTTTTTTTTTCAGGAATATGCAGTTGACAGATGAAATTTTGAGGAGACTAAGGTCTGTAAAATGTTTGATAAAGTAACATTGAAAATGTTACTTCGTGAAACGTCGTAGGATATTATGTACCTAAGCCTTATAAGGTACATTATATTATATGGTAAAAGGATTCCATGTAATAAATATATGTAAAAAAAATTTAATTGTAGCATAAACCTAAAGCTCAGTAAGTACCCTAAAATTCAATAAATATTTTTTCCTGTAGCTTGAAAAAGAAACATGGCGATAGGGCTTTTCCAGATAAAAAAATTTCGTCGGGCCAGCGCAAACCGGAAGACGACAAGGCAGAGGACATTAAATTCAGCAATGTATATTATACACTTATACATATTATATTTATATGTATATTATATAATAGCAGTAGAGCTCCTTGTGAAAGAGTTCGACCAGGGAAGTACTGCCTTACGTATTTCTGCCGCCAAGCAGTAATGTCAACATTACTATTTTCTAGTTTTGAAGGGTAAGGGTGCTAGTGAAATTACAGGCACATGGACTTGTCAACTTATGTCTCAGGATGACGGGCGCAGTGGCAGTGCGCCTCAGATCTTTGCGATTTGAAGTTCTGAGTGGCAACTGTTATAGACAGGCGTCTAGCTTACCATCAGGCGCACGACTTATTCGTCCCGTAACTTGATATTATATTTTAAACACCAGTTTCCACACGATAATATTTTAAATAAATGTCTCCAACATCATTCAAATTTAATAAAATCTATGAGTTTGCGTGATCGTCGTGTATTTAATGATAATAAGATGATGTCTACTAAAAACTCGAGTAAGGTAATGTGGCAGATTGTGAACGATGAGGTTTCAACTAGGAATCACCAACAAAACGTTCGACTGACTCACAAGGGAGACATTGTGCCTGTAGACATGATACCTGACTACTTCAATGATTATTTTCTTACAATTACTTCAAAATTACATCTACACAATAATAAAGAAAAATCAATGTGAATGGGTGAATGCGATGTTCCTCAATACAGCCTTCCAACTGTCACTCGTGACTCGTTGGAGGGGGTAGTGAGAGGTATGTGGCATACGTCAAAAACGCTGGACATATACGATATATCTATAAATATATTAATGTCGGTGTGGCCAGTGATTGGAGACATACTCGTTATTTTAATAAATGAAATGTTTACAGAAGGTATATATCCTGATATTTTGAAAAGTACTCGTGTATGTTCAGTATTTAAGGGGAAGGGGGACGTGACCCATGTTGAAAGCCACAGACCGATAACCATAGTTCCGAATTTATCAAAAATAATAGAATCTATTATATCAACAAGTATTATGCATCATTTCGAAATGAACGATTTGTTATCAGATAGACAATATGCTTATAGGAAAGGTAAATCCACCGTAGTTGCAGCACAAAATATAGTAGATTCTATTATTACCAGTATAGATGATAAGTATAAAACTGCAGGCATTTTTTGTGACCTAACAAAGGCGTTCGATGTAATTGAAAATGATTTATTAATTTAAATGTTAGCTGTGCATGGCGTCAACGGAGTCGCCAAGTCTTTCTTATCAAACAGACGGCAAACGGTTCAGGTCAGTACAAACGGTACAACAACTAGGTCAGCGGCTGGTGACGTCACCATTGGCATCCCGCAGGGATCCGCCCTAGGTAATACACTATTCATAGCATTCATCAATGATCTGCCATACTTTATATCAGGGGGTCTTGTGGTTCTATTTGCGGACGATACAACCGTTATAGTGTGTGCTAAAACCTACAACGAGTTGGAAGAAAAATTAGCCTGCACGTATGAGCAGCTGTGTGAGTGGTTCTCTGCGAATGGACTTATTATTCTTATATATATATATATATAGGATATATATTCTTAACGAATCGAAGTCAAACCTTATGTTGTTCTCAGGAAGAAATTCTATAACAAGGCCAATTATCACCTCCATTGTTCCATTATGTAACACCTGTAAATTCTTGGGTTTAACGCTAGACTCAAATTTGAACTGGAAGTCACATATACAAACTCTATGTCAAAAACTTGGAAGTGCTGCATACGCATTGAGGAAACTGCGTCCTCTTGTTTCCAATGTGGTATTGATGCAGACGTATTTTGCATATTTTCATTCGTTGATGTCTTATGGCATCACATTGTGGGGTAATTGAACTGAGTCGATTAGGGTATTTATTCTTCAAAAACCTGCACTAAGAACAATAGTAGGCATAAAAAAGGGTCAGACCTGCAGAAACCTTTTTAAGAAATACAATATAATGACCATGTACTCACAATATATTTATGATACATATAATAGTTTATGCGCGTCAAAACTTGGCTACTTATGAGCGACGTACGGGCGGAGGTCGAGCGTTACGAAACGCGGGAACACTGAAATCCGTTGCCCACCGTACCGAACTTGCAACTAGAAATCCGCGGGTAATATGTCCCCGATTCTACGAACATCTACCCACAGACCTGAAAAGTGTTAGAAACGATAAAACGTTTTGTACCCGACTAAAAAACCTTTTATTGGATATTGAATTGTACAGTGTCGATGAGTTTCTTTTGAAACAATTTTAATTTTATTTTATTCGACAAGCAGTAGTTATACTACTTTATTTTATATTCATTATTATTATTATTATTTTATTACTGACGATCATAGTTATCCCTTGACATTGTATTTCCAATTGCAATATTGTGACATTGATAACATGAAATAAACGATTCTATTCTATTCTATTCTATTCTAAAAAATTTATACTTTATGCCGTAGGTAACAATTGAAATAAGGTATACATTTCAATGCTATGAGATGCAGAGATAAATGCGCAACGATGCTCCGATGTCGGTCTTGGAGTCTTGGAGTGTTGCAATATTGTACCTACTTGTTTACAATTGGAATAGCATAATATATACATGCACCAGTACGGCCAGCTAAAATGAAACAAAAAAAAGAATGTTAGGACTGCTATGAATAAAAAGTTCACGGATAAAGCTAGATCTAGAAGTTGGTTAAGCCACGTCAAGATAGTTTCCCGAAAAATTTAAACCTTGATGCTCTTAATCATCATTTCTCTAATTAGGTTAACTTCGACGGGCCGACTAAAACATGTACCTTAAATTATCTTTCCACGCTTCCAACTGCCGACCATCCTCCATAGGGTGGTAACCAAATTACTCCTTTTCTCATATGTAACAACCTTCTCAATCCCTTTCTATCCGGCTTCCGACCAGGACACAGCACTATGACTGCTCTTGTTAGGATCACTGATGACATTAGGTATAGTATGTCGCAACAGCAACTCACTAATGTCATTGCTTGATTTCAGCAATGCTTTCAACAACGTTGATTTTGACATTTTGATTGCACTTTTACGCACTCTTTACATAACTCCAACGGTAATCTCTTGGTTTCATAGTTACCTGCATGGGTGTCGGCCATGTGAGAGGTTCCCTTCTAGGTGTGACATCAGAGCTGGCGTTCCACAGGGCGGCGTTTTGTCTCCTCTTCTCTTCTCGATCGTCATTAATTCAATTTACCGCAGTCTTACCTCATCATACCACCTGTATGCAGATGATTTACAAATTTACACTCACCGGCAACTTAAAAACCTGCTCGAAGCTATTGACGAAATCAATAATGATCTCCGTCATATTTTGACGTGGAGTAAACAATATGGTCTTGAACTAAACGCAACGAAAACGCAAATGATTGTTTTTGGCAGCTCTAGAATGGTATCCAAGATAGATTGGTTTCGCTTGCCGCAGGTTATTATAGACGACACCTACATTAAAATTAGTGACAATGAAAAAATCTGGGTATACTCATTGATAGGCAGCTATCTTGGGCACCTCAATTAGTTGAGACCAGCCGCAAATTGTTTGCGTCTGCCGCATCTCTCAGATAGTTACGTAATTTCTTACCTATTGCCACGAAAATTGCGCTTGTCCAAACACTTCTTCTTCTAATTCTTGATTATGCTCAACAAGCACGAACGTCTACAAAACTTTTGCATCCGTTTCATTTATGGTCTGAGAAAATTTGATCATGTTTCCATTTATCGGAAGGAGCTGAAGTGGTTACCCATTTGCATTCGCCGGAATGCTCATATTCTTAATCTTCTTTATGGCATCTTATTCGTTCCTCACACACCACCTTATCTTAAGGAGCGATTTGAATTCGGCCATCATTCCAACCCCCGACTTCTGCGCGCATCTTCAACTCTCCAACTTAAGATGCCATTGCATATCTCCCAGTATTACGACAAGTCCTTTACTGTTCAGGCTATTCGTTTGTGGAACGCTTTACCTTTGTTTATTCAACAAGCGAAATCATTGAATATATTCAAAAATATGGTAAAAGTACACTACCTAACTTTAATGTGACTTGAACTGCTTAGGTATTTTTATGTTTTGAAATTATGTTTTAGAAATTTTATATTTATAGGTGTAAGAATATATAGTAGTTTACGATATTCATATATATATGTATTGGTTTTATTATTTATTTATAAATATATGTATATTTGCATTTATTTATCGATTTTTATCTGTTGATTAGTAATTCTTTATACGCCGCCGTCTTTTTCCTATGTATTAGGTATATAATTACTTCCATCCAAAGGTTGTCTGGCAGAAATCGCTGAAAGCCATAAGACCGCCCATTTTACCACCGCTTATTTTTAATTTACTTGTATTGTATTTGTTTCCTTTTTTGGTGTACAATAAAGAATTTTTGTATTGTATTGTATTATATACATTGATTTTATTGTCTTCTGCCTTCCCGTCCGCTGGTTTGCAGTAACCTTACGCTGTTAACGCCAAAAAATTAATGACCTAGTATCAAAAAAATGTATTTCTTTTTTTATATATAGATTTGTCGCCGCTGACATAGAAGAACGTGCACGGAAGTAAGTATCTTACTTAATAGGCCATAAAATGATATATTTGTATATATAGTCACATAAAAACTGGATAGGGTATTAGGGTTACGTGTTTAAACAATTACGTTTATTTGTATATATAAAAAATGTAAATATGTGGTGTTGCTTTCAATGAAGTTTCTTTTTTTCCTTTTTATTATTTTTTTAGAAAAGTCATAATACCCATAACCCTTCATGACATACTGCCACATTATGAAATCAAAAGACGACCAACAGGCTTCATTCATCCATATGACTTGTCTGAATTCATCAAGTCAAAAGGCATTGATGTAAATGACGATGACGAGCAGAAACAATCAGATCAGGAACTAGAACTAGAAGAAATGTTGGAATCACACAAAAAAGTTACAAAAGAACCTGTTTTAATAGAAGTGGCGAAAACGGAGACGAAAAAGGGTGCTACGGTCAAAGAAGGCATTGATAAGAAAAAAAAGGCATCGTTTAGAGATGAAGATGATCACTACAAATCGCGGTATCGTTTTAAAAATATTGTTTAATAAAGTCCACTTTATGTTACGAGCAAACCGAAATAATGAATAGGAACGTTAAAAAATATCGGCAATTTTTTTTTTAGTGATTCATCAGATGTCGTAACACCGAAGAAAAAGAAAAGCATGTTCGATAAAGAGCCGCTGATACACGTATTAACTTATTACGACCATGAAGACGACATTAAAGCTGCGAAACGACGGAAAACAGAAGGCACACGGTATATAAATAAATAAATAAATATTTTTGGTCTAGGAGTCAGCCGGGAAGACGTAGTGCGCAGTATGCAGGAATCGAAGAGATGACTGAATTCGAAGCAATGGTTCAAAACGAAGAATTGCATGGACGCGAAGTGGTTACGAAACCATCAGCCTTTTTAAAGAAAGCAAATATTGAGGCGTATCATAGGTGCGTTTTTGTAATTTATTAATGTCGTCTTATTCGTCGACTTTAATTAAATTGAAAACTAAACAATTAATTAATTTCATTAAAATGAAAACGTAAATCGTGGACTTAAAATTGGTCTACAACATAAGGATTTTTATTTTGAAGAATCTTTGTTTTACTGGGCTTTGGTTCTCAAAACTATCGCTACAGGAACGCAGCAAGGTTCTTGTAAATATCCGAATAGAACTATGTCAATTACTGAAATTGATTACGATTGGAGGATTATGTGCTGTGTTCACGTCGTCTTCTAGAAACGATAACGTCTGGGGGCAAACGATGTTGCCAAATTTAAAGATTAGGGGAAGGTTGGGCAAAAAGGGTATTTCAATATACTCTGTATTAAAACAGAAATCAGAACCCCTTATTACGAATATCGCTAACGCACTACCTCCGCAAGCAAATTAGTACGCCACGGGGAGCAGTAAGAGTTAGTCGAGTACACAGGAGCCTGTATTTAGTTTCTACGCTAAAAAATAAAATAAATTCAAGAGAGTGCGCTGTGTTTTTATGATTTATATCATAAAAACACAGCGCACGTAACGTTTACTGTACATTAATGCATACCATGTTACAGTTGGGATTGTATGCTATCTGATAAGATTTAATACTAACAAAATATTGAATACCGTTAATAATTTTTTTATTTAATTTTTTATTGAATTGTTAATCAATTATTTTTATGTGAAATTCCTTCGTTTGTTCTGTGGCTTGGGTGGTATAGCGTCTCGCACGGTATGCTAGAAGATGTCGATTCGAATCCGGCCGGATCGAAGGAATTTTTTGTGAGTGTTCGGTCTTTGTATTAATAATTTGAGATTGGCAGGTGCAAGGCAAAACGGGTAGTGCCATTTTTTCCTCACTTGTTATTTTGTACGCATACATGGCTTTAATTTAATATATTTATTACAGATGGTGTTTAATTTATTAAAAATAAACTTAGAGAGCTTTTTGGTATACACATTCCCTACTAGATAAAGTAGAAGTTTCTTTTACCAAAAGAGACGCTTGGCGCATCTTGTTATCGATAGTTTGTATCACCACGGGCACTCTCAATACAGCTTCTCAATAAAATGGTATATTTGTTTGAAAGGCAGACAGCAGCTGAGCGACGGCGACACGTCTGACTGCGTAACGTGAACTTTGGTGGTCGTGTTACAACAGAGTACCCAGAACAGAACTAATTTGGAAAAAAATCATTTTCCAAATTGCTCGTAGCTGGAATCGAACCCGGGTCCAAGAGTCACGGAATTCTCGGGGCACTATCCAAAACACCCAGTCCGAAACCATTTAGAAAAGTTCATGTAATTGTGATTTTATTTACAGTTCATTAAACTGATTTTATTATGGTTTTAAACAATTCTCGAACAACTCGAGAAACTCTAGAAATCAGGTAGGCACGAAAATTATCAAAACTCGAGAAATTAAAATATATCGTTGAACGATCTTACATATGTCTAGGAATCAGAAACCCTAATTAGGATGTAATTCATATCATGCTGTACCCTTTTTGCCCGCATAGCATACCCGTTTTACCAACCCCCTACGGGCAAATCGGGTTTTTTTCAATTTTTCTTAAAGTGATGTTGCTCAGAACTCTTGATTATTTGTTTTGTTATTTGTAATAATTATAATAACCAAAGAGCTTGTGTTCGATTATGTTTAATTCGTTAATTAAATTTCTTTTCATTTACGTGAATATTAATTGATTATCATTAATGGACCCGTCTTGCCCAAACTTCCCCTATGCCTGCAAAATAGCAGAAAACGTATGTGCATAAGTTGCTATTACATAGAGCTGACATAATCGCCAGCAATGCTATCGTGCCAATTAGAACGCTCTTCTCCCCTCAAGAAGGAGATGGAACGGCCAGCGATAAAGATTTGAAAACCTCTAAGGAATATCATACAAACTAAAAAAGCAATTTCATAGAAATTAAAAAATATATAATTTTCATGTCAAACTAGATCGCGTGATATTTTGAGCATTATAAAGTACAGTAATAGAGAATCGAAGCCGTTTTCAGCAAAAAAATAAATAAAAATAAAAATCTAAATAAAAATACTCAACAATGTCTTTGAAAGACATATTTTCCGCCTTTTGTACAACGTTTCGATATTTTATAGGTAGTAAATTACGAAAAAAACAAAAAAAGAAATCTATTTTGTGTAAATTGAAAATAGTAGTAACCTACAGCATTTTTGCCCTGTTCGCTTTTGCAAAAAAAGAAATTAAGGTAGACATCACAGGCAGCATTAAAACATATAAAACGTATTTTTATAGGAAGGTGTTGCATATAAAGCCTCCCGGGAATGAGGAGGAAGAGCTGTCACATGAACATAAAATTAAGAGGCGGCAAACAGGTACCATTAGTAGTGCGACTCAAAAACGTTGACACAGTATTATTTGCTGCATAATTCTATTTGTTTGCCAATAGGTTTCGTAACAAAGGATATGATTCACAAACTTCACTTGGAAGATTTCGAAGAGGACGATGACGATGCCAAGAATGAAAACATTAAAGAAAGTGTATTGATTTCCAATAAAATGCCAAATGACGAGAAACGAACGCCAATGAAATCGGAATTATCAAACGAAGAGTTAGTAATAATTAATATTTAGAGTTGGAGTCGTGTCGGCACGCGTTAGCACTGTACCCAGTCTAAATGTGTGCTTTCTAAGGTGTATTATTAAAGCTACACTTATTTTTTCCCCGCTGAGCGGGACGCCTATTATTCTTGTTCTACAAATAAAACACACGTTTATGATACGAAATGTTTAATGGTTAAAAAAATTGTTTAGCTATAAATGTTTAACGATCAATCATTAAAAAAGTATAGTAACTAAACTTGTGTAGTCTGGATTTAATAAGTAACACTCGGATGGCACAAACTTAGGGAGGCCCGTACCATGCAGTGGGTGAAATCAGGCTGTGGTTGATGATGAAGAAGTGTCAAATTAAAAGACGCATGTTGCAAATGAAGCTTCGTACTGACATAGTCTTCTGATTTGGTCGAGTATTATTTGACAGTAATTGTTTCGGACGGATGACAGATGGATGATAGCTGAAGTTGCTGACGACTGGCGTGTAAGCAGCATCTTCATATCCATAATCTCAGTACAGAGTTCTAAAAAAACCGACCTCAAAAGTACGTGGAATGATATGTATTTGCCAAATTTTATTGAAATCGGTTACCGGAAAGTGGGCAAACCCAGATTCATCCCCTAGTTCGCCGCTATACGGGACTTGACACAGGAGATGATAAAAATCGGTTAAGTATATTGAGAGAGAAACGCCTTGAATTGGAGAACAGCAAAATCAACCATTAAAATAATTGCTCCTTATAATAAAATTTAGGCGCTATTTATAAAAATGAATCTTCATGCGTGAACAGCCACCACATTTAGAGGTCGATGATTTTCTTCAAAATTAAATGGGATCGCTATGGGGGTACCCTCTTTCCAACAAAAAAAGAATCATGAAAATCGGTTCACAAATACCGGAGTTGTCGCGTAACATACATACAAAAAAACATACAGTGGAATTGAGAACCTGCTCCTTTTTTTGAAGTCGGTTAATAAACGGGTCTTTGTCACGAACCAGCGACATTACATTTTTTTCGCTAGGATTTATCCTCCTTAAATTAATTCTTGCACTACCGTAAATTCAAAAACTTTCAATTCACGCATGATTCCCGAGCAAGGTGTCCTCGGTACGTCGAAGAGCTTAAAAATTTAACGAAGTCCCATCGAAAGACGTCTATGCTTGCTCGCCTGTATGAATCGCCCATAGATCTCGACAGCACGCGGCCGATGTTGAAAGATTTCAAGTATAATTTTATTTTTTTGACTCAAGGTGACAATCACAATGGAAGTGCCCTAAGACTCGATCTAGAGTAATTTTTATGTGACAATTTCTTTTTATTTAAATGTTTTGAATATGATCATTGAAGTATTATTTAATATTCGTGTTATATAATATTAGTGTGGTAACCTGATATATTTTTAAAATTTCACGATGATATATTCGAGTAATTAAATAATAAAACTTGTCACCAAAATTGAGTACAAAAAACTTTCCTGAAAATTACTGATTACTATGTCGCCAAAACTCGCACATTCTGAATTTGAAACACTACAAAATCTTGATATTGTTTGGTCGTAGTTTCAAATTTAAAAATAATAAATTCTGGATTGTGAATGTAATTTAAACTTTACTCTGTTAGCACATCGTTGAAGGTTCAATACCATTAATACCTATTATTGCAAGTTACGTTTTGATGTTCATATCGAAATTTCAATCAACGTGCTGTCATCTAGCGGTTAATTGCTGAACGACGACGAATTGGAGTTATTAATTTAGTTCTCCAAAAAAGAAGCGACCATATTGCAGGGGTTTAAAGCTTTACTTTAGTTTCTTATAGCAAAAAATATTTCGATAAACAGAAAATTTATTTAAATAAGACTTTCCTATGATATGTAATACCACCATGTAATATTTTTTGGTGCAGCTATCATTTTTGCACTCCAAAACAGCACAATAAGGCATTTTTCTAGGATTTTAGAGAATTTTGCACGAAAGAATGACGCAACCATACCATACTAAGCAAAAATGGCGGAATGAACTCGGATAGGTCTTTCGAGACAAATACTTGGGGCGCACTATAAGTTTCCGGAATTACTAAGAAAAAAATACTATAAGTGATCAGAAATGAATTTATTGTTTCTCAAAATATTCTCCGTTAGCGTTAATGCACTTTTTCATACATAGGAACCAATTTTGAAAACATTTAGGTATGCCACTTCTCCGTGACAATCTCTGAAACATATTTTTCTTACTATTCGACAGCCTCTTCAGGTGATGAAAATCGTTGACAGCGTAACTGGTTCTTAATTTTTGGAAATAAATAAAAAAGTCACAAGGTGCCAGGTCGGGACTGTACGCGGGATGGCTCTTAAGGTCAACGTTGTTCACCTTCGAAAAATCATTTGTCTGTCTGGCCTTGTGAGAACTGGCATTATCGTGGTGCAAGATGATACCGCGTTTACGGTTATTTGTACGGAGTTTGTATAATTTCCGGCAAACAAATGGTACCAATCACTATTCACGGTACAACGATTCTCCAAAGCAACAGTAGCCACGTGTCCAGTTTTATTTAAAAAAGAAGCAATCATCCGCTTAATTAAAGGCACTTTCCACGCGCGCCGCTTTGGTTGGTTGCGGTTCATCTCGAAAGACCCATACGCTCGATTGCTGCTTTGTTTTGGGATCGTAACTATAAATCTATGTTTCGTCACCAATTACTATGTCCTACACCAACTTTGACGCCCCTTCGTTGAATCTGGTAAACATGGCATTGCACCAAGTGACGCGATCTATTTTTTTGAGCCTCAGTCAAATTGTATGGGATACACCGAGAGCATAGCTTTTTCACAGTAGTATTGATTGCACTTCACTCATGCTTTTATGCCTAAAGATGCCCGATTCTCAAGGTATGTCACATGCCTATCTGTTTTGATCATAGGGCACCACAGCATCGCTGTTTTTGTTGTTCCCAGCAGTGGACTGGAGACCATCACGAAATTCGTCACTGAGATTCACACGAGCGCGTTTGAATTCTACAAACCAGCTATAAATAGTCGTCTTGCATGGCGCTTCATCGCCGAAAGCAGTTTGAAGCCGAGCGAAGCTCCACTGAGCTGTTAAATTACACTTGAAAGTCGTAGAAAATCATGCTACGAAAAATTTCCGAATTAAATCTATGGTGATGTAGACAATCAATTTCTAAAATGACGCCACAGTGTAAAAACAAGTGACAGTCAGATGAAACAAACTGTATTATATTAGCCAATGAGTTCCATTTTCAAATGTTGTAATTACTTTTTAAATATTGTTTACGTAAGTGGTCAGTTCCGGAAACTTATAGTGCGCCCTATGCAGTTAGCACTCGTCTGACGCTAATTAACCACTTCCACTGTATTTATTGTTCTGTGATGACAATGTGGTGGTATGTTGTGTGAATGCAACCATTACATTGTGAACATCTCAGATTGCAAAACATAATCTGAGGTGAGCATAGTGCCACAGTGGATATGTTCCCGAACTCGCTAACCAGTCTTCGCATAGCAATTCTTAGCAAGTAAACATCGTTGGTGTTTTGTAGAAAGGGCGTAAACGACATTTTGCAAATTTTTCTGGGGAGCATGTTTTAGGTTTTAACACAAGACGAGAAAGGTTTGGTTTTCTCGTCTGTAGGATTTAACGACTGTTTTAAAATATATAGGGAGCCCGCGGGTAATGAGAGCGGTGTTAAACTGGACTTTCCCAATACTCGTATTGGGAAAGTTTTCGTTAACGTTCGACAAGGTTCGAGTCCCGTGGGCGCCCCTGTTTAGTCGTATGAGATGGTTGTGTGTTATTCGCTACGCGCTTATAAAATTTACTAAATTTCCATTTTAATAAAATTCCATCATCCAAGTAAGCATTAAAATACATAGATACGACATTATATTTACACTATCTATATCACCATATCTATTAAATTTTAGAAGTTATGCTTGAAATCACAATAAAAATAGAAATGGTTTTACTGTTTTATTCCTTTTTCAATCGATGTTACGCGGGTAATGAGAGCTATTTGGCTCTCCTTATCTCATTGCAATATTCACTGGAGATTCCTGTAACACTTTCTTGTTTATTTCCATTACTTTTTAACTTATATATTTTATTACTTTAATTTTTTTTTCAGACTGATTATATATAATGGCTCCCATTTGACATACGGGATTCTTACCGGCTTCCATTTCCCGAACTGTGGGGTAATGAGAGCGAATGACATGTTTTAGTTTTTTCTTTTTTAACCAAATATTTTATTTTAGTTTCATATTTTTTCTGTGATTATCTAGTACCCAGATAAGTGAAGCGTACGTTCATAACTAATAAAAATGTAAATTGCATAAATTATGACTTTTATTGTCAATTTTCCTTAGTATGCTCCCTTTCCCCCACGCTCCCCGACACACTGTTTTAAAATTTAATAAAATTTAACTCAAGCAACTTATATTTAATTAAAAGTAAAGTAAAATTTTAAAACGGGGCATAAATATTTTGGTTAAAGGTTAAAGGTTTTGGTTACATAAAACAGTAGTTATAACCTAAAACATGTTCCCCGGAAAATCTACGAAATGTCGCTTACGCCTTTTCTACAAAACACCAAATTATCATAATGTAATCTATTATTTGTTTTTCTATTTGTATTTTTTAATATCCCTTGTATCCTTTTATAGCCCTTAAATATTATCAAACTACCCGTCAGTGCAACAGGCGTTTCACTCTTACCTACTTAGATTGAACTTGTATTTGATATAACAACTGTTGATGAACCTAATAATTTAAAAAAACAAGAACAATAAGACCTCATGCTTCTACTAGGTGCTCCCACTGCAACTAGTAGGAGCACGAGCACTAATTACTCCTACCGATAGAACCAAAAGGAAAAATATCCTACTGCTCCTACTAATATGCTGTCACCTATATTTATATAATTGATATTATTATTATTGTTGTAGTATTCGTATGTATGTTTTCGATGCTCTAAAATAGTCTTAGTCTGAGTCTCTAAATGAGAGCGCACAAAAATATGTAAAGAAAAGGCAAAACAAATCGGTATAGCTGGTCGTCGTACTCTATAATGACAGATCTAAATATAATTTAAGATGAAAATGAAGTTGGGAGCATTAAATTAGCGACATGTTTTAATTATTGTTTTTAAAGTGCTGCCTAATGCGATTGTTACTGATAAGAAAGAAAACAGAGCGATTCGCGTAACTAAAATTAATTTGCGTTTTCGCGAATTATAATATTACAAATACTACTTTTCACATAAAATGTTAAATTATACACAAGCTGACTCGACTCCACACACGTATAGCGCATGATCATTCTACTAGTAAGATTTCCAATACCTACTTTTACAATTAACTCTACCATAGGCTTATGGTAACAATTATCAGTTGCGACTTTTTAATGTATTTCAAAATATTGTATGGCAAATAGTACAACGCCCCTGCGGACACAAGACGAAAACGTTTGGTAACAACTATCGACGTGAACAAAAAAAAAACAGGTAAAGGTGCAGAGTTGTACAGTGCCGCTACCACGAGTTTACTGTGACAGTTGTAGCTAGCGATCGCGTAAATTACTTCACAATTTTGTATGGCAAATTTATCGAGTAGGTATATAACCAGAAATAGAAAAGAAATTTCATTTAATTTATTTCAAAACTATTTCGCCATATCATTACGGTGACAACTGCGCTTCAATTGGCCAGCCCGAATTCGAAACAATTGACGGGTGTCTTCAATAGTTAACGTAAAATCGACCAGTTAAACTTAAACTTTTGCTATAATGGATGGAAATTGAAAAATTACATAATTAAAAATATTAATTTTTCATCGGTAATTAAATTAATTACCGATGAAATGTGATACCGTTTGTTTGTTTACAATAAATACAGAATATTTTTGGAATATACGGAGACGTACACACAGGTCAGTTGTTGGCGCTGTACTATTTCAGCTTTCAAATTTAGATTTCAGTGCAAACGAGAGTTGATATTTAAAAGTGATTTAAGGCCCATTTGCCTGATTAGTTGCCAGGGATTTTTCGTCTCTATTTCTGGATACTCGATGGGCTAATTATTATACAGCGCCCCTAGCAGACACAAGAAGAAACAATATTTGTATACAAACATTTTACGAGGTCGCTAGCGATAACTGTGCCTGAGGCACAAAAGTTGCTATAGCGCCAACGTAAAGTATTGGTTTAGCGAATTGTACGCCCATAGCGAAACAAGTAGAACTAAAATTTGACGTAATATACTTTTTTCCCTTAGCTTCTCGCGGTCAGAAACTTTGACACTGTAATTCGTAGGTCATGGTAGAAATACAGACACGGTATACCTACATTTAACGACAAGGGGCCTCGTGGAGTTGTAATACGAATGTACAATGCAATCTGAGATTGGAATGAGGATAAAATTTGTGAAATAGTCTTTATAAGCTTCCACGACTACGACTTCTTTCTTACAGACCACTATCCGAATTGCAACCAAAGAATTTACTAACGTTTACTTCGCCTATCCGCGTCGATGACAAGGATGATATAATTGAAAAACAAAAGCTGCCTGTAATATTAACAGATGAACCCTACCATGTAATGAATGTACCGCATGAAAAGAAATTTCAGCAGAAAATCTCCTCAGATTACGCGAAGATCATTATACAAACGGAACAGACGAGGAGAAATCAAACGTATTCCTTACGAAGCTTTGAGTACGCAAAGGCACGCCCTTTTCTTACAGTATCTCAGTACCAATTGAAGAATCAAGAGTATCAGAAGCAATTAAAGGAAAATAGTGCAGTTGAAACACTCTGTCCTGATAGTAGACTCTAGTAAATCCCTTCAGCGGAGTAAGCATAGCTGAGCAGAATATCCCACACTCGCTAAAAACCGTAGAAGTATAGTCAAAATTTATTCGATATATTTTCAAACCGATGGGATCCTCAGATTAAAAACAATCACGTTCATAAACTATGTGGCCCAACGTAGCGAGGATACATTACAGTAACCCGGCGGCGATTCGCCACTATACTCGACCATGGATGCGGTGCGTCGTTAGTACAAAACAGCAATAATAGTAGAGTATTATATTGAATACTTTGTTCAATGTCAGTGCTCTGTATTAGTATGATAATGACAACTCTATCCGACGCGGTCAAATGTATAGAAAGAGCACTAGCGTGACTCCACATTTGTGACATTTCAACCATGACCGTAACAGACACGCGTGACAAAAACACAAATCTGGGCGGTTTTTGTCACGCGGACAAATGACACGCCTTAATGTCACTCGGGAATCCCCTACTGAAAAAAAATTTTAATATAGATTTTATTATTAAATTTAGCGAATAGATTTGCATTCACATTGAATAAGTATATATAATTTTAACAAATTTGTTAAAATGATTATTCTTTTTATTATTTTATTTTTATATTTTTTTTATTTTTAATATTATTAGCTTTTTTATTTTATTATTGTCTTAGTTTTTATAATTACATACAATTGCCTTTTTTTATACTGTTGATTTATACCTCTTAGTTGTACATATTATATTTACCTGATACCCAGTGAGTGGAGCAACCATTAGATTGGCCCTGAAGTACCTACTGGAGACGAGACCAAAACAAAAATACATCTGTGCGCATATAATGTGCATGTATGCAAGATAAATAGTCGTTTATTTTTTATTTATTTTATTGCACCATCCACTGATTTAACTTTAATATCGATTAACATATTACACCGGCATTTCACTTCGTCGTATTCACCAAAATGTCTTATCGCAAAACACCGAGACGTTAATTAACTAGTTAATTAATGATTCAATACAAAATTTAAAAAGCTACTATCACCTTCTGGCAGTGCCATAGGGTGGTAGGTAAACAATGGGGACTTTCACCCAAGATACCTAACAAAAAAAATAGCGATAAGACCCATGATATTATATATAATGTCATGGTTTTTTCTTTTATACACTACATAAAATCCTATTTTATGCAGCCTACACCCAGCATAAATTCGAGCTTTAAGAGCACGAGAAGTGAAAACTATATAATTTGTTATTAGGTTTTCGCGATTGTTACACATAGGAAATCAGTTACGGCGCGATAGTATGGTGGCCACGAACCAAGCTGACGACTGCAACCTACAAACAAGTATAACTATTATAATTATTGTATGATATGATGACATAGAAGTGCATCACACCTGTGAATTTGCAGATAAGTAATAAAACCAAAAAACCGGCCAAGTGCGAGTTGAACTCGCGCGGAGAGGTTTCCGTACAAACTTAACATTGTAGTTGAAGAATATGTTCTCCAATAGATTCCAAGAGCAAATATAGGTTTATTCGCACAATAGTGAGAGATTTAAAGACAATTTCTGTATTTTTTTTCAAAACTTTAGGCTTAGTAGTTTCGAAGATAAAGGGGAGAATGATAAATTTTCGTCTATTTTCTTAAACAACTTAAAAATATTTATATTTCAAAATTACAAAAAATATATACTTAAGAAGTTTCCCTCCCAATAGTGACTTCAGAATTAATTTATTTACATTACACGTTTTGGTCACACAAATGTATATTATGTCTACCAAATTTCAAAATAATCAGTATCGTATTTCGGAACAGAACAGAACAGAACTCTAACAACGAAAAACGGCTGATTTGTTGTTGACTAGAGTAGTACTACACACAAAACCATTACTTGTAGGTAAGACATACCGCATGAATAATGTGGGTACAGAACCAGAACGTAGCTTTACTCTTTGCTTGTCTCTGAAAGAAAAGCATTTTTCCTCAAAGTGTTTGTTTGCTGCATATTTTTGAAAACTTTTTGGAAACCCAGTCTTCTCTCTCTTTAGCATTATAAGCCATTTCTGTCGTACTTCAATGTTTTGAGGAAATCTGAATCAACAACAATAATTAACATAAAAAAAATGGGTGCCTCAACTACGCTATTGGAAGAAATTTTCGTTTTAATGTAGACGAAAAATAATGCACTAATGCAATATTAATTAAATATAAAGTACTAAAACCAGAAATTTCTGATTCAATAATATTAAGTATGAAGATGAATTAATGTTTTTCAGTTAATGACATCTCGATAACATATTATCGATTGCGTCAATCTCTATGAAAGTGGGGTTATGAATTTCAGAAATTCACGTATTTGATATATTTTTTAATTGAATTCGTATACATTCCGGGTTATTAATGCACTTGAATGGTATAATTTTACGGATATATTTATGTAAAAAACTTTTGTGGTAGCGCTTTTAGGGTCGTATTCTAGAACTGTACTCAATGCTCAAGTCAGGACTTGAGTATGATTCAAAGCACTAGAAATCATACTCAAGTCCTTGCCATTAGGGTTGTATTTCCAGTGCTAGAAATCATACTCAAGTATGCTCAAATCCTGACTTGAGCATTGAATAGAGTTCTAGAATACGACTCTTAGACAGCTAAAAATTTAAATAGTACTTACATGTGAAATGTACAATTCTGCGAGTTTTCCTTTTTAGATGAGTTACATCCGGGCACTGAACACGTTACCATGACTAGTAAAAGTCCGTTTAATACTATTTCACATTTTAAAACCAATTATTTTTCAAAAATAAACGAAATTTGTTTTGTTGTCAGCTGACCCTAGGTTCATACAGGCTCATAGCTTATAATAATGAAGTGGTCTCGTCTACCCATTTCGCTCTAACATACGTGTATACTAACGCTCTTTCACTTGCATTGCCAATCTATGGGTACCTATATACTAAATCTGTGGGAGGAACACTAAACTTAATCCCAAAATACAAGCTTTTTGCTTAGTTTGGGATTCGGTAGTTTAAACATTTTATATAAGTAGCACGTACATATAATCAGTGAAATAAGTTTTTTTTTATGTAACGTACCCATTGTTTTTAATTTTGCTGTACTTATATATGAATGAAATAAATATTATTATTATTATTACTAATTGAAGCTTTAGAGGCGGCGCGTACATTTCGTCACGGTCTCTGAAATTGTCAGTCGGGCCACATTTACGTAGGAAGTACACGTGCCATGCCACGGAGACTCAGCACATTGAAATGTCACAAATGTGGACCTACCTTTACGTCGCCTTTAATGTGTCTCGTTACAATTTGACATCAATAATTTCCAAAGGTCACAACAATTTAAACATAACTGTTAGATATCTGAGTGATCTTAATTATTCATCATAAATTGCACTGTTCGCAGATTACGCTTTACATTTTTTGTAGAATTTTACTCAATTGTTTATAATATAAATTTGGAATCATACATTTTTCATAATTTATTTTATTAAAATATTTTGACAAAATGACATACTTTTATTGAAATATTTGCCATCACATATAATTGATACTACGAGATGCGATTATCAAAATGAAGACCATATTTAAATACAATCTTTTATTAACACTGAAATTGCACATAAATTTTTACATCACAATTTGATACTACTACGGTACAATGTTAACAACTTCATCTAGTTGGATCCATTGTTGGATTGTTCTACTAACAAATACAAATAACTTAAGATGGGAATAACCCTAACTACGTACCCATAAAATATACTTTATATAATCTTCAGCAGCCCTCAATCTTAAAAGCGAAAAACTGTAAAACTACGAATATTTTACACTGAAACATCATTTAGAAAACACTATTTTTCAAGCGATCAGTCATGTCCTTAATACAAACCTGATTACATCTCCAAACTAAGAATATGGGTACATTCGTAGTTTTGAAAAAACAACCTAGAAAAAATAAATATTAGTTATTTAAACTTCAATTTTTTTCTAAATTGACGTATATGTAAACAAACCATAACTCCACACTTTCCAGACACACCAAAGCAAATATTGCTTAAGTGCTTCTATTTTTTCAATGTCCCTCGGCAAACTTAGTGTTTCGGCTATCGTCGGGTTTTATTCAATTGCCCTTTGCCTTTGGTACAGACTCTTTCAGCCGACTTGAAAGTATATAGAGTTGCTATTACATTTTTTATTTATTATACAATGGGAGGAAAGCCGCTAAAGTCACTGGCACGGCAGATAACTTACAGCGTATTTTTTACAAGAAGCCAAATTCAAACATTTGGTCTCAAATTAAACGACACGTAGCTATTAAAAATACAGCAATTGAATGTGACAACAATCAAAGAAACTATATTGGACAAAAATTATATGATTGAACCGGCAGAATGGATAACTATATTGGACAAAAACTATATGATTGAACCGGCAGAATGGATAAAGTATGCGATCATGTAATAAAATGTGAGGATGAATATAGAACATTTGAACCAGTTTGAACCGTATACGGACAATTTTATAATAAATACATATTCGTACAACGCAGACAGTGATTATTCCATCGATGACGAACATACTAACACTGCTATGTCAGATGAAGAAATGCGTTCTGGGGTCTACTCTCGATCTCCGTCCGACAGCCGTCCGAAATAATTACTGTCAAATAAGCAATACTCGACCAAATGAAAAGACGGGTGAAGCGAATGAAGCTTCATACTTGATACCTGTCTTTTAATTTGGTCGAATATTACTTATTTAACAGTAATTGTTTTGGACGGATGTCGGACGGAGATCGAGAGTAGACCCCCAGATTCGGACTGAATTGTAATGATTAATAACCGGAAAAATATTTTTTAGTTTATAAAAGAAGCACACTTTATTAACTTGCTTATTGACATGGAGTAAATGTTATTAAAAATAGGGAAATAGTTTTACAGCTCTATATAGTTCACGCGGAAACCGAAAGAAAACTCTTTGCAACAATGTACTTTATTGTACATTGTTCTAAATTCAAATTGTTAGATTTCATATCTAATAATTAATGGGCATGGAAATTAATATTCGTTTGCATCCGGAATTGCAGAGGGACATTGAGAAAATAGAAGCACGGTACCTTTTATTATCCTTCTATATACCTTACGTCACATACTTAATTTATTCGACCCCCGAAAACATGAAACTTGTTTTTCGCGCCATACAACGCCGTACATTCCTAGTCTGCACCGTTCTTTGAGGTTGCAACTAGATGACTCTGAAATGGTATCTAGAAGTATAGGATTCACCACAATTTACAGACTAATTTCCTCGACCTCAAAACTTTCTTTTTCGCGCCATAAAACGCTGTACAAGCGATCAGTCACGTCCTTAATACAAGCTGATTACATCTCCAAAGTATGAGCCTATGAAAAAACAAGCTAGAAAAATTAAATATACCTTATTCCAAGCACAAAATTTCTTTTTCTAAATTGACGTAGATGTAAACAAGCCATAACTGCACACTTACCAGACGCACCAAAGCAAATATACTTTTTATTATCCTTCTATATACCTTAATTCACAGATTTCATTTATGCGAACCCCCAAATAATGGAATTTGATTTTCGCGCCTTACAACACCGTATATTCCTAGTCTGTACCATTATTTGATGTTGCAACTAGATAACACAGAGGGTGTAACATAAGTATAGCGTTCAGCATAATTCAGACTTAGTTCCTCGACCTCAAAACTTTCTTCTTCGTGCCATACAACGCCGTACATTCCTCGTCCATACCAGTCTTTGTTCTTTAGCATTCACCTTAATCACAGTTTCTTTGACCCCAAAATTCTGCCACTTAGTCGCAGAAACGCCGTACATAGTTCGTACTATTCTTTGGTGGTTCGCTCTAATAAGTACGGCGCTACTTGTCCTACAATTTGTTATAACAGGAACGTCAAGTAATTGATAACAGTATTCAGGAGTACGCAATTATTCGAAGCTTATTTCTACATGCATTTCTTCTTCAACCAATAGTAAAATATTTATTGATGATAGTTAACTAAATTTGTGTAAATATTAAAAAAAGTCTAATATAGAAAAGGAACTAATGTGTTTTCTTCTAAGTCCAGTTAGTACATAGGAGATTATCAATGATGGTGTAAAGCTATAACATATTTGTAATCCAGTGCAGAGAAGAAAAGTGACCACTAAATTCACTTGTACTCCCTTCACTGTTCATATCACTGTCACTCACTAACTATAATACTTTGTTCACGCTGAGTTTATGCAAATCCATGGGTATGGGCGAAGGAAAGGCCGTTGCTTGGCTGGTTATGTGGTTCATTGTTGTTGTTAGGTCCGTCAGCCGCGTCTAAAGCCGCGCTGTTGCGGCTCTCTAGCTGCTGCTGCCACATTGATGCGTAAAAACCACCTTGCGCTAGCAGTGCTTCGTGGCTAAAGAGAAACATGAATTTTGTCACAAAAATCTACGTATAATACGATATATATATAAATACTAAGTATAATAGCTATAACAATTGGTCAAGTACAAGTAAATTTATTCAAAGGAATCGTAATAAGATAATAAATAGCAAAGAAATAAAAATGTTATTGTTCGTTCACGTGAACGCTTCTATAAGCTTGTGCCTTCCAAATATCCAGAACTCTAATATCAAGGAAAAAATTCCACAGGCTAGATCAGTCTGATTTCAATGTTTCCCATTGGCCAGATTGATAGCCAACGGGAAACATTGAAATTTTCTTTATCTTACTACTCAAGCTTGATTAAACAGTTTAAGTGACAAACGACATAGGGTGCTAACAGATTGAATGCATGTTTGCATTTATCTATATTTATATCAACTTCTTGCTGTCGTTGTCTCGGCTACATGAAGTTGATTACGACTTCACGCATTAACTGCATGCAGTCGATCTATGCTGTCGGTTTCAACTGCAAGCAGTGAATGCGTGAAGACGATATCAATTTCATGCAGCCGAGACTTCGACTCTAATACAAACAAACAACATGCGCCAATAACCTTTGAAAAGCATTTGACACTGAAAACCACAGCGTTACTATTACGCTTTTATTGCTTCTGCGCATTCTATCAAGTTCATATAATGACTTCACGTATTGACTGCAAACATGCAGTCAATACGTGAACAGGGGCTGTTCCATTCGGTGGTGTGGGAAAAACAGCAAAACATTTAATTACAAAACAAACGGAATCACATTTCATAGGTAATTAATATTAAATATGTAATTTTTAAATTTTCGTCCATATAGCAAACCTCGAGTTAAACTGGTTGATTTGAAGTGAAACAATTGACGACACTCGTCAATTGTTTCGAATTCGGGCTAGCCAATCGGAGTGCAGTTGTCATCGTAATGATATGGCAGAATAGTTTTCAAACAAATTAAATGACATTTCGTCTCTATTTCTGTTTACATATTCGATAGGCCAGCACGACAAGGCGCGACTAGCGCGAAATGTTTTGTTATTCTCTATGCGAGAATAGCAGTATCTCGCGCTTTCTGTCGCTCTCGCGCCCTGTCGCGCTAACCCAACTGAGCTATTAGCATTAGCAGAAATGAACTATGCCTCTACTATAGCATTTGTGTTTAATACTCGCGGCTGTAGAGACGTGACATTCTATGAGATTTCTGTACAATGTTTTCGTCGCTGTGCTCCCATGGGATCCACGGAGAACTACATGGGATTTTAGGCAAGAAAGCTAAGCCAAGACCTTTTCAGCGAACAACTTTCAGCTGGTAATAAATGATATAGATTTTAAGACTTTCATGGTTATTCACTAAATGATTATCACTAATTCTTACCACGGTATGACTTCTTTTTATTTTCCCGATATTTCGAAACGGTTGCACGCTCCATTGACTGTCAACCCGTGACCATGGAGCATGAAAAGAAGTCATACCGTGGTAAGAAACCTAATATTAGTGATAATCATTTGGCAATAAATGATGAATCAAACACTCACTTTCCTCTCTCAATAATTTCTCCGTCTTTGAGCACCAATATCTCGTCGGCGTGGATGATAGTGGACAATCTGTGCGCTATAATTATTGTTGTTCTATTTGCACATACTCGCGCTAACGCCGCCTGGAACACACAAAATAAAAATTTGCCAGAATCTATAATAAAAAAAATATTTATTTGTTATGCTTATGCAAGGCTGCAAAGTTGTTGTTTGACGCGAGTGCTTGTTTTGAAACCTGAGCAAGAGAAGTAAGCTCAGATTTAAAGATAGATTCAAAAATAGATTCCTGAGCATAGCGAGGGTTTCAAGGCACGAGACGCAAAACATGCTGGCCGAGCGAAACTCACAACTATTCACATCACTATGGCGAGGACAATGGTAAATGAAAGAAAAATAGTTGAACTAAATACATCAGTTTTTTAAATTGAAAGAAAAAATTTATCTTCAAATGCGTTCTGAATTTACACCTCATCAATTTTTATTCTTGCTTGTACTTTTCTTTTGTATGATTAAGTTATTATTGAAATTATTTGGTTCTTCGATGAATTAAAATATTTTAATTAGCAATTAGTTTTCTTTGTCAATTTAATGTCAACAATAATAAGAATAAAAGGCAGGCAAATAAATTAGAAATTCAAAACCGCAAAAAATGTGTGTGTGTTTGTGTATGTGTATTTGAATGAGTGTGTGTGTGTGCAAAATATATAATAAAAATATGTAATAAAAAGCAATTAACACGTCGTCTTACCTGAATATTTCTTTCAGTATTCGTGTCAAGGGCGGAGGTAGCCTCGTCCAGTAGTACGATAGTGGGATCTTTGAGTATAGTTCGCGCTATCGCTATTCTCTGCTTTTCTCCTCCACTTAGTTTTAAGCCTCTCTCTCCCACCTTAGACAAAAAGAATAATTGTTAAGTCCACTGTTTCGCATCATCTTATGTACAACCAAAATGTATAATCAAGTGTAATGAGAAAAATATGTTAAGTGTAGTTTCTTTACCCGTGTATCGTAAGCATCAGGGAATGTGAGAATTCTGTCATGAATATCAGCGTTCTTAGCTGCTGCTATGATGTCAGCTGTCGGTGCGTCCAATTTTCCGTACTGGATATTATATCTGAAAATAATTATAAATTATTGTTGACTTACCGACAAATAATAATATAAACAGCCGCAAACAAGCAGCAAACAAAGGATCAATAATTAAAAAAGGTGACCGTTCAGATCATTTATATACATGCCATTTAAGACACTACCATAGTAACACGACAGAGAATAATCTCAAACTAACATGTAATACATATACTTAAGCCTAAATCATTCGTTTCGTGACTATTCCAATTTATTTTATGGACTAGTGTTTACTTTTCCATTAAAATAAATCTAAAACTACTATAGTAGTCCTTGATCTTACTAGGTAAAAAAAGGTAAAGATCAAACACTCAGAAAAAACTACTAAATCTGTCATAGATTTCTCATAGATGGCGCTACGACTAATAAGTCGTTGAAAGACCAAGTACAAAGACACGACGCAAGCACATAGAAAAATTCGTGAGGTCCGTTGGTCCGTTCCGTGGCTTAGTTGGTATAGCGTCTGGCACGGTATGCAAGAAGACGTCGGTTCGAATCCGACCGGATCGAAGGAATTTTTTCTGAGTGTTTTTTCTGAGTGTTCGACCTTTGTATTAATAATTATAACAAACTAGTGGAGTAATTTCACAAAAAATAATTGAATATCAATTCTATAAAAATTTAATTAATACTATAGTAGTACCTAAAACTAGTACTAGTATAAACTAGTAATGGTTTTGTTTGAAAGTTTAAAAAGTTATTTGATATCATTATTCACCTTTTTTAAATATTCTGTTTAAAAAAAACAGTATAACTTGGGCATACGCATGTTACGTACCTGACGGTATTGTTAAACAGGACAGTGTCTTGTGGCACGACGCCAATGTTAGACCGAAGCGAGCTTTGGGTAACCGTGCGAACATCTTGACCGTCTACTAGCACTGCACCTTCGTTCACATCATAGAATCGGAAGAGAAGCCGCATTATTGTTGATTTACCAGCACCACTGGGACCAACCTGAAAATAATATTAGAGCGTTTATTATTATATTGGATGACAGATTTGTAATATTATATCGCACCTACGGTTAAATATGGGATTAACTGCAAAAGAAATTAATGAAATTTATACACAAACAGAGACAACCATGAATTCCCTCATTTTTCCATAGAGAAAACCCTTTAATTGGAGTAGAGTTAGAGTAAACCCTTTTGGCATAAGCTCGCGTTTGTACACTAACGTTTTAAATTATTTGTTACAATGTAATTTGTTGTACAATAAAGTGTTTACATACTACTAATCACTACACATCCTATAAATTAAAATACAATAATTCGTGGATTTCAAATGGATGTATTAATTATCCACTCTATGCGTATTTCTTCCGTGTTTAGATATCTGTTATATAACAAAATACCCACCAAAGCTACAGTAGAGCCGGGCGCAACCTTGAAATTGATATTGTTCAGCACGAGTCTCTCGGGTCCGTAGCCGAAAGACACGTGTTTGAACTCCACAGCCCCTCTCCTGACGAGCAACTCCGGCGCACCGATGGCGTCCTTCACGTCTGCTTCTTCGCGCATCAAGTCGAACATGTTCTCCATGTCTACGAAGTTCTTTTGAATTGCTCTGGGGAGCGAGATTTTTTTTAGTACAACTTAAAAAAACACATACTACATACCTACGTCGTTAGTTTATACAGGGTTATTTAGAAAATACTAACAACTTTCAGGACAACTTTTGTTACACTACATTTAATAAATCATTAGTTTTTACTTTCATACAACAATAAAATTATAACGTTCTAAACGGTGATAACTCTGTGGTAATAAAAGAAAGCGCTCGCGTAAATACCCAATTTGATGTAAAACGCAGGAAGGGGTGAGGATAGACGCTTGCACGTTTGAAAAGTATCAGATAGTACAACAAAATCTTAAAAAGTTTATTTTTGGTAAACTTCTAATATTTTGAAAAAATCATGGAACAAGTTATTGTTTATGATGTTAATATTTTACAAATAACTCTGTATACAGCGAGTGAATAAAAAAAGTAAAAAAAAAATTCTAGGCATTAGGTTTCATACAAAGACTCCATTTTGGAAAAAAAATGGTAGGTCAAATTTCCACAATAATATTTTTCTTCGGAACAAGTTTTAGAATTGTTTGAATACCTTAACTCAACGAATTCGTCAATTAATTCCACAGACAGCCTAGGGACGAGAGCGACGCGCGAGGAGGAATATCCCGAACCGGGGTCTAAATCTTTTCCTCCCTCAGTTTTCTTGGTCAAGTTCAACGACAATGGCGGCGCGAAAACCGCCGCCGACTTCTACTACGGCCTAAACCCTCTCCTTGTAAAAGACCCGTGTCCAACAGCGGGACGAATTGTGAGTTGACGATGTTGACAATGGTAAAATATTTATTATAGTTTTTTCTTACCTATAGTAAGTACCGAACCAATTAAGTGGCACGTAAAGTTGTACTATGTAAGAAGCGAACAGCACATAGTCTCCAACTGTGAGCTGCCTAGTTTCTACCACCATGTGAATAGCCAGTAGAGACCCAGCCAGAAGGCCTTGAAAAAAAAACAAAAAAAAATACAATGTGTTCAACATGATTACAAACCTAGTGGTGAATAATAGCAATTACTGTTACTTACCACTGCATATAATGATGTTTTGCATCGTGTTTAACATATTCAAGGTTATCAAGGAATTAAATTCTTCTTTCTGAAAAAAAAAAAATATTAAAACAACCTACATAGCTCAGACTCGTCTCATAACAAATAGGCATAAATATGTATAATAAATAGTAGTGCTATTTTTACACCTAGTTCTCTTTTTCCAGATATAATAACAAATATATGTAGCTGTAAAGCTTCTTATGAAAGAGCTCGTCGCGGGAAGTACTGCCACCTTACTTATTTCTGCCACCAAGCAATGAAAGCAAGTGAAATTACAGGCACATGGGAATTGTCAACTCATGTCACACAATGACGAGCGTAGTGTCAGTGCCCCTCAGAGCTTTGTGATTTAAAGCTCCGAGTGAAACTACAGCTGTTATGGACAGGCGTGTCGTCTACTAACAGGCGCACGCACGACTTGTTTGTCGCGTCATTTGGTATCATAAAAAAAAAAGTATAATTACACGTGGTCAAAAGTTAAAACCTACTTGGTAATTGAGAATACAATCTTTATAAGCCATCACTTCGTAATTCTCGGCGCCGTAGTATTTGACAGTTTCATAGTTGAGCAGCGAGTCAACGGAACGAGCCTTTTGCTCGTTGTCCGCGAGATTCATGCGCCTCTGGTACTTCGTCCTCCATTCCGTTACTGCTATTGTTGCAACTAAAATTTATTATACAGAGCGTCAGGTTAGACTGCAAACTCTTGAAAGGGTATCAAGTACAGAATAAGATACAATAGGAATAAGTAAATATTCTAAATCATAGGTTCCCAGAGCCGTCATAAAAAATCTAATAGACTCTATTACCAAAACTGTGTATTAACACTTCCTGAATCACTCTAGTGATTGATGACTGGTGAAAAATCAAATAGACTCTATTGCCAAAACTTAATACACACTTCCTGAATCGCTCTAGCGAGTGATTATTGATAAGTGATATTGAATTTTAACATCGTTCGTTGTAAGTTTGGTGTGTAGAAAATATTAGTTCCTTAAAATTCCGCAACCTAATAACAATATTTATATCTACTTGTCAAGATAACACACAAAAGTGAAAATCACTTACTGATATAAAGCACCATGGTAGAAAAAACGATAAATCCAAACCACACATTGAAAGCCGTAACAAAATACCCGATCGCAATTAATATGTCGACGATTGTTGGCGTTATAGAAAACAGAATGTAGGAGAGTAGATTGTCTATGGAGTCAGTGCCTCTGTCCATTACACGGAGAACTTCGCCAGTTTTACGTGAGAGATGCCACCGAAGAGGCAGTTCGTGAAGGTGCTTGAATAACTCCAACTGGAAAGATATTTTTAAGGATCAAGTAATTTGGCTTCAAGCTCAGTATCTCAATGGGGAAAGCGCTAAACGCCCAATGTACATTAAAATGTACATTATAATGTATAATTATGAAGCATGTACATTATAATGTACATTTTAATGTACATTATAATGTATAATTAGCCTAAGCAAGTATGCCCTCAGTTTTGTATGAAACACGTACTTTTCTTGATACCGTATAGTCTAAATATAGCCCTAAATTTGAATGCGATATTTTCATTATAATGTACTCTGGGCATTTTCGTGATCATAAGCCAGGTACTCACTAACGATTTGCATGTTATGTCACCAAAAATCACAGTGAACGTGGCTCACGAGTGGAACGCATACGGTTCGCAGAGAGCCGACCATAACCACGTACTTATTCTAGCGAGTGAAGACTGTTTCACGCATACACACGAGAACCTCGTTACTGTATGTCACATTATAGTTACAGGTCTTTAATGAGTACCCGGCTTTAGGAATAATATTTTCAGGGTCCGAATCACTTCACATAGCATGGACATTTTGATGGACATACACAGAGCCTTACAAGGATAAGTGGTTAAAAACAATGTCAAGGGACAATATGATCATAATCACTAATAAACAATAAACAGTTTAATATAAAACAAAATATTAATAAAAAAACATTTTTTTCGAAACAAATTCCTCTATAATGTAAAATTCATTATCCTTCGGGTGGAGAGTGCCAACAACAAGCCAAATACCAATACGCTATTACTTGTAGGAGCGGAAACCACAGGGACTACTTTAGCGAAAATGATTCCTTTGAATGAAATATTTTACACCCAACAGAAACTTCAGTCGAGGGTAAAACATTTAGTTGTATGTAAAATTTTTCAGATTTATTTGCGGGTAGATGCTCAATACTTGTAGCATTTGAGACCGGTTGCTTGCGGGTATTTCGCTGCGAGTTCAGTAGAGTAGTCAATGAATGTAAGTTTTCCCGCTCCTCGAAATGTTCTGCTTCGACCCTTTGATCGCTTGTTCAAGTTTTGACGAGCGTAAACGATTATTACAAGGTAGGAGAAAGATGGGAAAAGACATAAAGGTAGTAGGTAGGTTCACCCACCTCTAATTCTCTAGTAGTATACTGTTGCACTCGAATCCAAAGGAAGGAGCGAAGGTTGTTCAAGAAGCCCATTCCACCGGTGCCACCGCCCTGCAGGAACTTGAAGAACACATATATCAACACCAAATCCCAGCAGAAGTACTGTGTTGTCGATGGTGATATACTGTCCACTGCAGAATAAACAAGGTTTCGTTTACGAAAACAAATTGAAAAGTGATTATATTATATTATATGGCACCAAAAATTATAGAGGCATAGATTATCAGACAACAGGTGTCTGATTAATCAAAGGCAGACCTTGACAAAAAGAACAAAGGTAGCACAAGACCGAGATACTCGTTGAAACCTTTACCCTACAGTTTGGGTATACCGTAGGGGTTAACGTAAAAATATATATTACTGAAGATGAAATCGGCTGACCACATTCTTGCCACAATTTTATAACAAATAAGAAGATTGATCTCTATTTCTTACACGACGAAGTATAGGCTGGTTTTGTGCCAATCCTTTCAAAACATGCACCGGAGCGTTGATATTGAATTCTAGAAAAAGCGTTACATATGTATCCAAATGTAAAACTATTTTTAAACAGCATAAAACGGCGGCAATAAATCACAACAACACCATTTGCCTTTATTGGATCATTGATCCGAAGTGACCTGGAGATGGACGATTTTGTTATTTACTTGGGGGACAGGCAACGCGTATTTTAGGTACATTTGTCTTAATTGTTTCTTTAGTATAGTCTGTCTTTTTTTCGAGTCATCATTAGCACAATATTCGTCTAACTACTGGGTACAGGTGCATTTAAATTGTTAATTTTTGTAAGTTCATACATTCGTATACTGCATTTATAGCTATGTCTATTAAAAACATAAGAGGAGACATATTTTAAAATTTTTCATTTTATCGAGTTCTTAGGTTTTCGCGATTGTTATACATAGGAATGAAACTATTTTGTGTTGTTGACTGGTCCCATGGTCAACCGTGACCATGGGACCTGTAAAGGACCCGAAACGTCGGTTTGTTTGAAAAAACAAATATACGCGATTTAAATCCGGAAAAATAGTTTCATTCCTATTTTTCATTTTAATTCAATACAGATAATCAAATTCGCTTGTACTTATTAAAATGTATATGAATAAAAATTTATTTCGATACTCGTAGGCTAATTATCAAAATAAGCATAAAGAAACAACAAGAATAAAGAAGTAACGCAATTAGAAATCATTAGAACGTCGTACCATTCACAATTAAGACATTTTTCGCATTATAGTGCCTTCTTTCGCAATCGATCCATAAAACAGTCTACAACAACTACATGACTATTTAAAATTTTATGAAAACTAGCAACCCTGCGAATGTCGTTTTACTACGTCGCGTCTTCAAAATTGACAGACTACAGATTTTTATCTTTCTTTAAACACCAACTTACCTATTTTTTTATTATAAATAGGCACGTATAAGTTGACAATTCGCCCTCCGATGAGCGCTAAGACGCAAATCAACACATTTAACTGCAGACAGAAGTTCTTGCGTGGCCAAAGGAATGGCAGTAGAATGCGCAACTTGCTGAAGACGTTGCGGAACGTCGATCTATTTTCGTTCTAAAAATAAACAAAATTTAATTAATTATAATAATAATGCACGCACCCATAGCCCCGCACTAGGGAAACCCTGTATCGCGGATGCGATGGACAAACACATAGACAACCACAAATTATACCCAAACTCACGAGAGAAATTAATGTAGGCCATACAAATATTTCTCCCGGCCCGGGAGTCAAACTCGGGACCTCTGCGTGGCAAACCAGCATAGTAACTGTACGGCCACAGAGGTAATTAAAACCTTCTCAGGTGCATTTAGTATCAAATTAGGTAATACAATATTATATTTTGATTGAATATCATCCTGTTTGTACCACCATGCCTCTATTTTTATTGTGAAATTGCTTTTATTAGTTTGATTACTCATTTGAGTACAGCGGCAGTAAATGGGTTTACATAAAGATTAGTGTTCGACTAAGAAAAATTGCTTCCATCCTGCTGGATTCCAAGGAATTTTTCAAGTTAAATACAAAGATATGCAACAAGCACATAGATAAATTCGTAAGATCTACCAGTTCGTTCCGTAGCTCAGTTGGGAGAGTGTCAGGCACAGTATGCTGAAGGCACTGGTTCGAATCCAGCCGGATCGATAGATGTTTTCCTAGTGTTGGATCTTTGTATTAATAACTATAATAAACTAGTAGTCATTTCACAAAACATAATTGCGATACCTCCAAACGTAAGTTGTAGTAAGTAGAAATATCATTTTTACTTTTTAAGTCAAATATATACTTTTTATGCATATATAGGTTCCGTATTTAAAACTTCAGTAATCACCTAATGTTATATTGACTTTCAGATATGGAACCTACAATGTACATAATAATCTCAGTACAGAGTACTACCGTAAACCGATCTCAAAAGTATTCATCCCCTAATTTGCCACCTTCAAAGATGGAATATTTTCATTTTAATGGAATATTTAATAATAGACGAAAAAAGAATCATCAAAATCGGTTCACAAAAGTTTTACACGATAACTACAAAAACATATATACAAAAAAAACAAATACAGTCGAATTGAGAAACTCCTCCTTTTTTTGACGTCGGTTAAAAAGGATATACTATTTAAGTTAAAAAGCTAAAAATGGTATTTTGACTTACAACTTACGTAGGAGGTATCGTGTCATGATAAATAAAACAACGTGATATCCAAGAAACTTAATATTGCTCTACTAGTTTGTAATTATTATTTATACAAAGATCGAACAATGAAGAAACTTTCATAAGTTCTCACAGGTGGTAAAAAAGCCGTAGGGAGGGTCGAAAAATTCACTGCATGAAAAAATATTCAACACAAGCAACTTTGACAACTACACGATTTTACCTTCACCAGGTTCGCGGAATAGCAAATTACCTTACTTCAATTTTTATTAACATGGACTTCCCCAAAATAGCGTCTGAATCTCATCGTCATTTCAACCAAAAGACGTCAACTCTTGAATATAGGCTTACCCCAAAGATACCTAGCCGCTAGCATCCAGCGGATTCCCGCAGCCTTCACCAGATCATCAGTCCACCTTGTGGGTGGTCTGCCCAAGCTGCGTCTTCCGGTCCGCGGTCGCCACTCGAGAACTCGTTGGCCCCATCGGCCATCTGTTCTGCGAGGAACGTGCCGTGCCCACTGCCTCTAAGTTTTGCAATTTTTTGGGCTATGTCGGTTACTCTGGTTCCCTTGCGGATATCCTCATTACTGATTGGATCTCGCAACGAAATTCCGAGCATAGCCCTTTCGATTGCCCTTTGAGTGACCTTGATCCTTCTTATGAGGCGCATAGTGAGCGACACGGCTCAGTGCCGTAAGTCATCACTGGCTACACACAATGGTCGAAGACTTTTGTCTTGAGACACTGTGGTATCTTGGACAAGAAGATATGGCGTAATTTAAAGCCTGAATGTCAAAATGCTGTTTAAACCCAACACAAAATCCGCAATACGAGCATAGAGAAATTCGTAAGATCTGCTAGCTCGATCCGCAGCTAAATTGGCAGACCGGTTGCCACGTTGAAGCGACAGACACCGACTGGTCCGCAACCAGTCGGATCAGAGGGATTGCTGTTTGTTTGATCTTTGTATCAACAATAATAAAGAACTAGATACCACAAGACAAGAGCTTGAAAAAAAGATTTTCCCGCATGAATGAGAAGTTAGTTTTTGTTCAAATTACTTTTGTCGACATGACTGTAGTACTACTAATTATTGTGTGGTGAAATGTAGCGAACAATATAGGACCTGGATTTCGAGTATAGCACTCATACTTAAATATTGTTGCTTTGATGTACAGTGAATTTCTCACTTTGACGCCAGCTAATTCGCGTGTTCATATGACTCGTTCATCATAAAAGTTAGTTGTGAATTAAAATTAATATAAATTATATTACTCTGACTTCAGGTTCATAGAAGTAGACGTACGCCATAGTTTAATAGATGCAGATAAATCCCATAAATCCCAAACCAGGTGTAAATAAACAGTCTGAAAATAAGGTGAAAAAAAATCTTTTAAGAATAAATGAAGGGGTCAGAGAAAGAATCTGTTAACTTACATTTTATGGGTTTGATGCCTGACCACCTACCAGTACTTTACAACACGTACTTGGTGGTCATTTTACAGTACTGAAAAAATATATCATATTTTACAAAAAAATGTAGCTCAACAGATTCTTCCCTTGACCACTTCAAATAAATTCATCAATTCCCAGACTGTTTACTTACCCTTTCATAAACAAACTTTAAATACAAACAAACTAGAAATTTAAGTTAGGTTCAATACATTTTAGAGTATATTTCACCTTTTCCTTAAATTCATATTTCTCTTCTGTACCACTAAAATGATTTCGATAAGGACATGACATGACCTAAACTAACTTAGCCTAAAATATTAATAGAAATTAGAAAATATACTTGTAAATATCAAATGTCACATGAATGACATTGTCATTGTGACGAAATTAAGTGGAAAACATTTCGCAAAAAGTTGTTATTGTTTCTGAGTAATTTAGAATGGACGTTTTCCAGTTCTTTTTTTTAATTCAGATTCGAGTTTTTTGTCATTAAAAACCCTCAGAGCAAATATTGTTGCGCTAAGTTTCGCTCATAAATGTTTAACAAGGTGACACTCGCTCTACAAAAATAATAGTATCTCATAAAAATTTCATTTGAGGTTCTAAACATTATAGCTTAATAGTAAATAAAAAAAACAACTTACCCTTGGAGGCAAATTCCTGCGAATATCCTCATTCACAAGAAGCTCAAATTGGTGCATAATGCCCGGTGCTTTCATACCAAGAATGAACATGATCATGCAGGACACGTAACGTCCAACGAACAATGCCATTTCTAACCGGTCTTGAAGGCTGAAATAAATATTTTATATTTTTTTAGTGTTCCCAGCAAGATTGATAATGTGACATCATTTCAGAATTGTGTAAAAGGTCATATATTTTTTGAGCATTATAATATGCGCGACGTAGACGTGTCTAAATTCGGAAAATTCTTTTGGCATCAATGATGAATTCATTAATTTATATTTTGTTTATTAATTTTAATTCAAAATAACAGAATTTAGTAACATTATTTAGTAATTCCAAGATTAACAATGCCATTTCTAACCGGTCTTGAAGGCTGAAATAAATATTTTATATTTTTTTAGTGTTCCCAGCAAGATTGATAATGTGACATCATTTCAGAATTGTGTAAAAGGTCATAATATTTTTTGAGCATTATAATATGCGCGACGTAGACGTGTCTAAATTCGGAAAATTCTTTTGGCATCAATGATGAATTCATTAATTTATATTTTGTTTATTAATTTTAATTCAAAATAACAGAATTTAGTAACATTATTTAGTAATTCCAAGATTATTTGTCAACTTTTCAATATATGTTTAATAAGATATATCTATGTACAGTCTACTACTACTATGTACAGCTCACTTAGGTATCCACTATTATTACAACGGGAACAATATTTTTAATTAAATAAAAATACAAAAATGCATTATTTTCTCTCAAAATAGTCAATGAGTAGTTACAACATTACGTAAAATAAAAAGTTCCTTAGTGAGAGCTAGAGTCTTCTAGAACTTAGCCTAGTACATACGTACTAGGTTGGAAACCTGTGTTACAGATCACCAGGCTCACTCCCTCTTAGCATATTAGAGAACGTACCATCTTAAATAATACTTACTCCCTTAAATGCCACCACCACCCTTCCTTGTTAAGATTCAAAAACGACAGATTTTCAGACACAAAGACCATGGCCCAGAAGACGAGTAACACAAAACCATGGCCCCGTGGAGGCACTGAGGGTAGAAGATACCTCCTTTCGAGTATAGCCAAATACGCTGAGAGGGGAAACACTATCAGGCTTACTATTAGTGCTAAAATCTGAAACAATACAGGATAATTTACGGGCGTTATTAAGGTGTAGATGAAGGTATCTGTAGTTTTTTTTTTATAAAAAATAAGTGCGCGTTTGACCTCCATCTCACCTGATGGAAAGTGACGATGAGGTCCAGGATGTAGCATGCACATCTAAATAATGCCTATTCACTCTCGCCTTGAAAAGGTCCAAGTTGTGACGTTCGGGGAACAAGTCTGCAGGCAGGGAATTCCACTCCCTAGCCGCTCGCCATACAAATGTGGTAGCGAAACGCTTCGTGCGAATCCGGGGAATATCCACAACATAGGGGTGGAACCCCAGCCCACGTCTAGTGCCGGATGATGGAAAGGGGTAGGCGGAATCAAATTATGCAATTCCATCGCACACTCTCCGTGATATATCGTGTAGAATACCGATAAGCTTCGCCACTACTAACTCCGAGTCACCAATATAAGCCACTGAGCACGCTTGTGTATTGAATCCAAGGTGGCCAGTTGGTATTTTGCAGAGCCATAACATAAGTGGCAGCAGTACACGACCGATCCTGTGCTTGGTACAGCTGAAACAACTGTCCCGGTGTGAAGTAGCGCCTCACGTTGGAAGGATGCCAAGCTATTTGCCGAAGTTCAGATTGGACGACAGGTCCAATCCAAGTAGGTGAAGACGGTCGGCTATCGGTATGGATATATCGCGGTAAACGACCTTAAGTCCATATTTTGGAATTTAGATATTTTTTACAAATATTTCTTTCGATGGTAAAAGATAAAATCCTATCGTTGTTTGTTTTTTATTTGACATATTTTAATTGAACTTAAGGTTACTTTTAAATTTTAAATTGATTTTAAATAATTAAGAAACTCATTACTTTTAAAACACCCTGCAGTATAAATTACTATTTCGTCGGGGATATTGTAAATCCGCGCACGTAGCATTGGAAATAGGCCCGTATCTGTTATTAAACCAAATTTTACAGGAATTTGTTTTAACGTTATTACTTTGTTATATAATATTATCTCAAAGCAATGTTGAGATAATACTATGTTAGTTGTCATGTGCGATATATGAATAGATAAACCGAAAATATTTTTTTATAAAAATTTGCTTAACGATATGCCGGTTTCGAGTACTTGGGTTTAGCGGTTATTCATCATCATCATCATTATCATCAAGTCAGAAGACGTCCACTGCTGAACACAGGCCTCCTCCAAAGATTTCCAGACATGCCGATCGCACGCGACGTGCATCCATCTATTACCCGCCGCCCTTACCAGGTAATCTGTCCATTTAGTAGGGCGCAGTACCAATGAACGCCTTCCAGTTCGTGGTATCCATTCAAGAACCTTTCTGCTCCAACGGCCGTCAGTTCTACGAGCTATGTACCCTGCCCTCTACCACTTCAACTTGCTAATCCTTTTAGCTATGTCAGTGACTTTCGTTCTTTTACGGATCTCCCCATTTCTGATTCGATCACGCAGAAAAAGGCCGAGCACTGCTCGCTCCAGAGCTTGTTACGTAACTTTGAGATTTTTTGAGGCCCTTGCCTTTTTATGTAGCGATTATTACACAATGAGGATAAATTATGTCACTCAGCAGTGGTCTTAGGACCTGTAAAGGGCCGGAAATGTTAGTTTGTTTGAAAAAAACAAATATACGCGATTTAGATCCGAAAGAAAAGTTTTCCAGTATGCAGGTTTTATAATCAATCAATAGCATCCATCGTCTACGCTCGAATAACGGTTGTTTTGAATTATAAGGAATTCAACAGGGATTATTGTGTTTTAAAAATACACCTAACAGCCTCTGTGTCCCAACGGTTACCATGCCGGGCTGCCACGCAGAGAGCCCAGGTTCGATTCCCGGGCCGGGAGAAATATTTGTATGGCCTACATTTATTTCTCTCGTGAGTTTGGGCGTAATTTGTAGTTGTCTATGTGTGTGTCCATGGCACCCGCGACACAGGGTTTCCCTAGTGCGGGGATATGTTGAGTGTGCGCGTTATTATTAGGTATTACATAAAATTTTTACGTGCAAATATGTCCTTGAAGTTACTATGTCCATATAGCCATAAGTACGTAGACCAGAAGGTCTTTGTACCCAATTAATGAAAGAAACATGCAAAGTGTTCAATTACACATAGATAACTGCCTAAATTAGACACAAACGTTGTAATTTGCAACTTCCGTTTCTGGGTTTTTAGAGCAAACAAACTTACAATCTTCGTCACAGTATTTCGACAATTATCAAAAGTAAAATTTTCATTTGCATTAAAAAATAGAGATAAATTCGAGAGTCACTTATGACCGACATTTTTTTTTTTTTTTGTTTATTTCACTTTAAATAGGCGCAAAATAGGCGCCTTGACGTCGAGTTGCGGACACCAGCCCGTTACACCAAGTACCAAGTAAGTATTTCACTTTAAAATTTACAATTAAGAAAACAAAATAACTTTTTATTTTATATTACGACACAGTTACGATACGATACAGTTATGGTGCTTTTGCAGTTTATAATGGCACAATTATGCATTTTTCGTGTTTTCGACTGGTGTTTATCTACGATAACGGTCGAGCGCGTTCTGAAGTGTAGCAGAGGCAACTAAGTGAATTTCACTTACTTTGGGCACGCGAAGTACCTACGTACACTTGCGGCGTCTATCTAGACAAATAATGTCTGTGGTTAGGCAACACTGTTCTCGATTCTGATCGATTTTGAGAACAAAGGGACGAAAATTATTATGTTCTTAGCAATATTATAAAAATATTCTACAACTCTTTTGTTATAACGTTTAGTAACGTTTCGTTATTTTTTCAGTTTTGTTTTATTTATTATCAGTAGTATCCATAATTTCGATAATTTTTGCAGCACGTCGCCTCGAATGTCCAAATATAGTGAGCAAATAATTACATACATCGCCGGATACGTAGTAGGAGTAATACAAAAAAATATATAAAGCAAAGAATTAACAGTCCGCTGTCTTTACAAAAACCTGGAGTTGGTCGTACTTATGAGTTCGTTGCTTTCGAGGACGAAGGTGGTCTAGTTTATCCCACATAAGATGTTATCCAAATATGCAGAGTAGCAGAGTTAGAAATCCGAGAAATAATAAACAAATCACAAACATTTCACAAAAGGCCGTCATTAAGTAAATCTATTATGTTAATAAGATTTTACCATATTTTGTCAGCAGTAACATTTTCATTTGTCTGGCCATTCATCAATTTGATCAATTACCAAGAGAAAACCATCTAGTAAAATTAATTAAGGCAGTCGCAAATTCATATATTGACGTGCGTTTTCATCACTTAAGTCAATCGATAAGGTCTTCTATTACAACAGATATTATATAATAAGCTCATTTCATTGGAAGAATAATAATTCCAACATTTGAAGTCGATTAAAAATTAGTCTTAATTTTTTCTTTTTTTTTTAAAACAAGTAAAATAAAGGACTTAACTATTACTTATTCTAGTATATTATTTTTCTACTATATTATTATTACGACTACTTGTAATCAAGAAATACTTGAACAAAAATTATTCTATTTCGAATCGATTAATTGAATGGAATACGCGTGTTTACGCGTATTCCGTTCACGCGTATTCCGTACAATCAATCGCTTTAGAGCGAGCGGAAGTAGGTTTCCATCACTAAATAGTTCTTGTGACGTCATAGTGGGTACAAAAAATGAGGCACGCTTGGTTTTCATACAAATTGCGTACTTGCGGCGTCTATCTAGATATATATGTATGTCTGTGATTTTAACCATTAATGTGCCTGGAATTAATTGAAATAACGAAAAAATTAATGTTATATTAATTTTTAAGTAAATTAAGCGTATTCAACACAACACAAAAATTGTTTGTGTAAAACACCGTTTAAATTTTTGAATTACTAGTTAATGACGACATTTTGTAATTAGTGTTGTTTAAAATCTCAATGTACTAAATGATGCAATTGTTGGCTTTTTAAAATTTTGGTGAATTATCATAAAATTAAGCTATTTATTCATGTTATTAGACAATTTTTTTTATTATGCTTGTCAAAAATATCACCTAATGTCAAGTGAAAATGTGATCGAGGATGGTACACGCTCGATTAGAAAATACCTCTGGTTGTTCGGGAAAATAGAAATACCTTTTGCATTATTTAAGCGCGATTACTTATAGTCTGAATAGCATAGTGAATGTACTTTGTGTAGTAGTCTATGATAAGTGTCACCTATGTGACCTGATAAGAAACATTTCAATGAAAGTAGATACCGCTCTATTACCGATTCCTTACCATATAACCATAAATATGTCCTCCTTTGAATACCAAAGCTTGTAACAGGAACCTTATCACACCAAGAATAGGTATTAATATGGTGAAGAATATTTGCACGCCGAATAGTCGTGAACATCTTACATCCGTCACTTCTGTGGCATATCTGAAAATAAAGTATTTTATTAAGTAAAACTGCAAATGTTAGAAGAAATAGCGTTAGGGTTGCCATTCATACAAGTTTATTGGCGTGTTTTTTGCGTCTGGCATTACTACTTTTTGCATAAAATATAGAAATCATTTCCATTAAAAATCTTATCATAGCACTTGCTAATATGAAATGTAGTAAATAAGTAACGACATACAAAATAGGTTTTATTGTGACTACATTTAAAGCAGCTGCTTACTTGCAGACTCAAACAGTTTCCTTTTATTTTTCCTTATTACTTGTATATTAATAGTATACTAAAAATTATAAATTCACACCAGATAATTATGAATAAAGGCTATGATGACATACATTATGTAAATAATAATATACACGATATCAATCAATTTAATTATAAATGAAAAATCTTAAAACAACAAAATCTAAAAGCAACCCTATAGTGTGTGTGAGTGTGTGCGTGGGTTATCCCACCTTAACATATGACGTAAAAACAGCCTATCACGAACAATTAACAATCGCCAACCTTGTTGTATTGTTTGATAAGCGTTTATACAAACGGTGATAAAGATATGATAACACTTGATCTCGTAAGTTAGTTCTCGATCAAGTTAATTATACGTTATTGTTTTATCTCTATGTGGGTACAGAAACACCTTATCATTGAATAAAACGGGGTTTGCATGACACGAATTTTTATTTACTTATACAGTCTACAACAAATGTAAATAAGTAAAGAATTTTTTTTTCTATTTACATTTCATTTTAGGTGAAAGGTTTCATTTTGATTTATTGTTTATAATTCACACAACGACAAAAGGTGTAACAGTTCATAAACTAAAAGTAATTTATTATGACGTCATCACTTTTTCCTGTAATGTAAATAAAATTGCACCAGTCATTTGGTAATTTAGCCAATGATTATCATTCACATGTGGCCTTGCGGATGGCAACGAGGGTTTTAAAGTACCCAGTTACAGACCTCACTTATTTATTTCAAAAAATATAAAATAACACATATTGCACTACTATGACAATAGTGTTGTAACTCAAAATATGTGAAATTCTAGATTATGCAGTAGCTGCAATTCAAATTTTATGTTCAGCAATAGCTGAATGTAAAATTTGAATCTCTACAAGTCGTTAGAATATTTTGAGAAATAATTAAAAGATATCTACTTAACTGGATATTAGACAAAAAATTTGTGACCTAGTTCTGAATAAAACAGCCCTTACTCAAAAATATGAAATTTAATTTACCTGTCATTTTCAAATAATTTGACGAATAGGAAATTGTTTAGATGTCTGTAATAAACTTTAACCTATACATGAAATTTTAATAATCTTTCGGAGAAATGAATAATTTGTTTTTAATTGATTCTGAAAAAGTACACTTTTTCAGTACATACATTATTTTATTAACAGCGTGAGCTAAAATACGTACAAACTATTGCCAATAAAACAAAATAAACAATTGGTCTCAAATGTAGGCATTGGCTTTTTATCAAATTTATCATATTTGCTAAGTCATGTAGATGAAGATTGCTTTTAAAGACTGTGCACAGAGGATGACTAATCATATTCTAGTTGAAATTACGACAAAATTTGAACAAAATTGTGTCTTGTGTGTGTATTTAATATGTAAACATGAGACGAAATCGAAAATATCAACTTCGACTGTCATATGAAATATCGATTTCCATTTTATTATTGTTGATATGAACAAGTATTTACACGATATTACACTACATAACTAGCTTTTCAGCAGAAATAAGGAGATGAGTCACCTTACCTTACCCCAGGGAACCAGGAATCCAGGTTCCCATGGCAAAAGCCACAGGGCTGTGTAGCACTGACTTAGAGAGGCGGTTTTATTTATTGAAATAAATAAAATCAAATTGGTAATAATTTACAGGTTACAAGTTACAAAAAGAGTTTCTGGAGAGTATGTGATTGTAATTTCGATAGTGAGTATTAAAATTATCGCATCTAAACCCACATAGTATATTTTCGATTTTACTTTTTTATGTGCACCTTACATTCACTGAAATACATTGATTTTTATTCAATGGGCGAGATATAAGTACCTCGAAAAATCAAATAATACATATTATCACTTTGATGAGATAATTTTGATGCTTACTGCACCTTGAGATATTTGCCTTATGATTGTGTGGTTGTGCTTAATCATTTGGTTAACAGGCCCTAATGTAATTTGCAATGAAATAAAAATATTTTATGTTCAGAATATGTTTTCAATTTCTTTCTTATTTTAAGTATAGAAGATCATTCTTTGTCACAGATGAAAGAAGTTTCATAATTATGATCAAGGTTTTTGCTGGTATTAGTTGTTTTTTTTTACTAGATTATCATCTCACACTACACGTCCAAACAAAGTTATTAAAGAGTTTTCTTTGCTTGATTCATCATTTCAAATAATCAATTGTATAAACACTGAAGTGAGTTTTTTTTCCTGATTGTATTAAAATGACATCCACCGAAATTTAAGAATTTAAGAAAGTACTATTTGACTTTTTCGTGACGTTTTTTACAGTATGAATGAATTTTGACATTTAATCTTTAAAGCCTGTAACCCTCTATCTTATTTATAATTATTTTGACAAATTGTATTTTTATTATATCTTACTTTTATTGTTTTAATATTTAATTGTATAATTCAGTTCATAATAATATGATATTAAGAATATACTATGGAATGTATTATGTTGGCATTCATTACAAGAAATACAGTAAAATTGTAATTAATATTTGCCATTACTAATTGCAGATGTTGAACTTATGATCTCAAATATTGTAAACTTTACATACCGTTTATACATAACAATCTGCATAATTCCACATATTATGAGGAATCCACCAATGATTGCTCCAGAGACAGTCTCCATGAAGCATTGAGATATACCATGGTCCACCCACACCTCCCCCAGTGTTACATTTGGGGGACAGTACTCCATTTTCATTGCTGAAAAAAAACATATATCATTAAGTAAAGAAAAAAACACATATTTAACAGATGGTGGAGAGAGAGACAGGGCAAGGAAGGCATAAAATTGATTGTTGCCATGTATTGCAATATGTCAATTATGATGAAATTTTGGACAGGAAACATTTTTAAACAATTTATAGAGTTTCCTGTGGACCATTTTTGCTTTAAGTTTCTGTCTAATTAAGTTAGTCAAAAGATAATCACTACAGAAATCACTCTATTCCAGCAAATATTGAATGTGAAACAGTGCCATAATATAAATTAAATAGCTTCTTTTATAATAACACCTCGTGAAGTGTGCCATCTGCATAGTTTTGGTAGTTCAAAAAACATTGGGAAATAATTATTTGCACAATTTTTTTTTATTATTCTAATGTAAGTGTGCATTTGACCTCCATCTAACCTGATGGAAAGTGATGATGAGGTTCACGATGGAGCATGCGCATCTAAATAATGTCTATTCATTCTCGCCTTGAAAAGGTCCAAGCTATAATATTCAGGGAACAAGTCTGCGGGCAGGGAATTCCACTCCATAGCCATTCGCCATATAAATGTGGAAGCGTAACGCTTCATGCAAATCTTTGGAATATCCACAACATATGGGTGGAAGCCAGGCCTACGCCTAGTCCCCCGAAGATGGAAAGGGAAAGGCGGAATTAAATTGTATAATTCCATCATACAGTCTCCATGATATATCCTGTAAAATACCGATAAGCAGGCAACTTTACGGCGGTGTTCAAGGCTCTGCAGCTTCGCCTCTACTAATTCCGAGTAACCTATAAGCCTCTTGGCACCCTTGTCAATTTAATCCAAGGTGGCCAGTTGATATGTAGCAGAGCCATCCCAAAGGTGGCAGCAGTCCTCCATACACAACCGGACTTGTGCTTGATACAGCTGACACATACAGATTATAATTTAATTCTATATATGGAAATATGTAGTCATCACTGTATCACACATTATTACTTAGTAATCAGCATTGCAACATGTATGTAGAAGTTCTTTCTTTTTTAATGAGATCAAGTGACTGGACAAACATTTATCATACGTACAGCTTAACCGGCTTATTGAAAGAAATTAAAACAATAAGTTTCTTATGAATTACGTATTACAACTTTCTAAATTAGAGTAACTAAGCGTCAATTGGTAGTTTTAAATTAATAATTAATAAGGTAATCATTGCAATTGATGTCTACATGACTGTACTACTTAAGACAAGTTATTCTTAATGATTGAAATCCTCTTTTTAATTTCAATACAAATTATTATATTACATAAATAATAAAATGGAATGAAAATATTCTAGTACATTCTTATCTAAAACCCTTGAAATTGTTAGGTATAAAAAAATTTAATTAAACTGCTAATGTGATAGTACTTTTCCTTTAAAAATAAAATCCACAGACAAGCACATGTACATATAAAATTCCAGAATTAATAGTTAGTAAGTTAGTTTCTTTATTTTAGAGTACCTATGTAATTTTGTGAGGGTAAATTATTTCTGAAGGATTGAAAAAGCATTTAAAAGCTTAATAAAACTAAAATACAAACATAGGTACTTGCAACTTAAAACTACAATATAAAGTGCATATATCAGAAATACTTACAATGCGTAATATATGGTGATTAGGCACTTTCACGCAATTAATTAAATGCTAAATAACCGGTACGCCACTCAGGTAAATTCTTATCAAAATTCCCTAATCACGATCTAATTTGCATTATTCAACTGGAAAAAATGATAACAATTGCGATTAATGTACCGCAAAATTTAAAAACAAAAGTTAAGGTTCGTCTGAAGTTTTCACGTAAGTCATAATTAAGGTAGTAGAAAGCGAATACTATACTGTGATAGGCGAAATCATATTATACAAAGAAAATGTACTAAGCTCACACCAATCATGGTATTTGTCAAAGTGACATTTTGAATTTTTTGTGACACTTTTTTTTTCCGATGCGCTTCATTGTAGTGGGGATTCGCTCTGGACCTTTTGGAGGGAAAAGTGTCGTTTTTATTTTGACTTTCAATTATTTTGTGAAATCTAGTTTAAAGTGGAATAGGATAGTACTATTGTGCCTTAATCGAAGATTAAAACGGAAAATTATACGAATCTCGAACTAAAATTCCCGTATCGGCCCGTTTTAAGGAATCCCGAGTCAATCCAAGCACGCCGCCTCAAATTACCTATTCTCTTTGTGGCGGCCTTATTTACAGAAACATAATTAAACGAAAATATGGCTCAAACGACTTGTATCCAAGCCAAAATTATTAATAAAATAATCATTGTAATGGCTACTGTCAAATTGTTCACTTGACTACATCTTGTGCAGTATTACTTAGTTTCCATTTTTATCTTTAGCTAAAGTAAATATATATATTTTTTTATTGTTATTAAATTTTATCAGAGTACTTCATACATTAAAAATATTTGAAGTATTAAAAAAAAATTGGAAAATTTTTACAAAGCTCTCAGGTTAATAAACTTTTGTTGCATTAGAAATCACGGGCAGGATTAGATACTCAAACAATGTAGTTAAAACTTTAATGTTCAATATTTTATTAAGTTTAGCCAAAGCTATAAAACCAGTACTGCGTCATTATTCCTAGACAACGCACAGTTTTGTAATAGCTACCAAACAATAAAAATGTAATCTCACTACACGATGACACATACATAAAGCAACACGTGTTCAGCCAAAAATTCTATTAAGTTTTGTATATATGTATGGACAACGGCACATCAGACTACACATTTTTGTTCGAAAATCGCCTCCATTGCAACGAAATAAGATATGTCAATGTGTAGCTTGATGTGCTGGCGTGAGTGACGCTGAGCGGAGAGAAACATTTTTATCATTATTATTTATTTACTCCGTTTCCCTTTCAACAATATTTCAAACATACATACATACATAAACAATAGTCCAAACCTTAGGGTCGTATTCCAGAACTCTACTCATTGCGCGAGTCAGGATTTGGGTATGATTTCAAGCACTGGAAATACGACCCTAAACGCAAGGACTTGAGTATAATTTCTAGTGCTTTAAATCATACTCAAGTCCTGACTTGAGCATTGAATAGAGTTCTGGAATACGACCATTAGATTCTTTATTTTTTTCCATCCTCTAAGGTCCAAACCATAGACAACTATGTACCATAATTCACTTCAAATTACGCTGTGCCAATAGTATATTTTTTTCCATCCTTTAAGCTACATATACATATTTCTATTGTCTATATTATATTATTAGGAATTTAAAGGAGACAAAAATAATTTATTTATTACTTCAATTTAATGCTAGCATGGCGGAAATCACTGGTCCTGATTTTAATTCAAATCGGAATCGATCCGATCGGGTAGCCCATCCGCAATATTGTACGCTTCGACTCGGGAAAGACACAGTTTCCGATCGGGAGAGGCAATCAAAATCAAGCTAAGCAGCTTGATTTTGATTGCCTCTCATTCTCAGTCTCATCATTTGAAGTCGACGCAAAATGTCTTATGTAGGAAAGGGCGTTACATAACGCACGTCACCCATCTAATGCCGTATTTATAAGAGTCCACCAATGTTACTCAGAAGGAAGAATGCCTGGTAGTGGTGTTGGTGGCACTAGCGCTGGAAGAGCACCTCGTGATGAATATGAAGAGATGGAAGAGATTCTTATCATATGAACAAAAGACGGGCGGAATGTGGCTTTCGTGCAGGTGGCAAATAACGGTCACACGTGGTACTTTAAAGACAACAATTGAAAAATTACTTTGATTGGATTTTTGCATAATTTTGCTGTAATAAAGTTTTAAATAAAGTTTTATTAATGCCTAATATTATTTTTTATCAAAACTCAATAGTCAAGAACAATTCAGGATAAGAAATGTTCCAATTTCGCAAACATAGTTTTTTAGTAAAATTTACTCCGTTTGCACATTAATAGCAATAATTTCATATTTACATTAGATACTATGAGAAATGATACCATTTTGAAATCCTCATTAAACCTACATTATTTTAAAGTACTTGGCCACACAGGTTATCATACTTTTTTTTATACAGAAGGCGCGTAAACTTGGTAAAAAAATAATTATTTCTCTGAAAAATGAAGTTAAACTTTAAAAAAAAAAAAGTACATTACTTAGTCATACCATTTACTTCTTATCTAAGGACACAGTTAACGTAGAATATTGTGACACCAAAAAACCAAATAAATTCATTCATTTGTAGTCATAATGCACAAAAACCTAAAATAAGATAAAAATAATTAACTTTTAAGAAAAAAAACATTCCTTAGGTACTACATGGGACAGATTTTTTTTGCATTTTTTTTGGAACAGTCTTAAGCTGTGCTATAAGCCATTTCAGTATGATACATTCATTACCGGACACCCTGTATATTGACTGAGTGAATATCAACGCGAAACCGTTTTTTGTGCATCTTCGAAACTGTATACAACATTAGCCTACATTACTCTTGTAGAACTATACCCAATACTATATAGTTTCGAAATCTGATTCCGCAATCAGTAACGGCAATGTATCAACCCAGCGCGCACGCGGGCTGTATCCATGAATATATAGTTTCGAAATACGATTTCGAATATTGATATATAGTTTTGATACGATATTCAGAAAAAGCTATATTACCATTCCTAGTCTTACGTTACTTACGTTACTTAGTTTTGATGTCTTCTCTACCGTACGCGACGCGTCGCGTGAGTAAAGAACGAATAAAGTGCGACGACCAGGTGAATGATCGAATGAGTTTCGTTTGCCTTTATGAATGAACGGCGGAATGATTAATAAGCGAATGGTGGTAAAAGTACTCTGTGGTATAACATGAAAGTGTGTGTCTTCGTGAAGTGACGGACGGAGTGATGGTGGATTTTATAATTTCTATAATCGTGATTTTTTAGTTGAGATTTGGTGTTGTTAATGTGATAGTAACATAAAATATTATTTTCCGCAAATGACGACAAGCACATATGTGATCGCGCGCGTTTGTGTACATATAAATTTATCGGGAGAATGTAAATGATCAGCATGTGTCACCACTCATCAACAAATGATACAGCGGTGCAGTGAGCGGTCATGTGAAGAGGACTATGACTAGTAGCTGTAAATTGTGATTAGTGGTGTTTGTGTCGTGAAGCAGTGTTAAGATCTTGTTTGGTGAAGGTGATAAATTGAGACTCAAAATGGCGGACCTCGAGGCTGTCCTGGCAGACGTCAGCTACTTGATGGCTATGGAGAAGTCGAAATGTACTCCAGCAGCACGAGCTAGCAAAAAAATAGTTTTACCTGATCCAAGGTAATGTCTTATAAGAATCATGTAAAGAAATAAGCTAGTAAAGGGCCGTAAAACACTTCGCAATGTCGTTGTTATCTTGCCTGGTTGTTTACAAATTTTGATTCAGTTCGTATAGCACGAAACTTGTTTTTAAAATTGATTCCAAAGCTAAAAACAATATTTGAAAAAAAAAACTATTATGTTTATTGTATGTATATTTTAACTTAATATCTCTGTACATGATTACATTTGAAATTAATTAATAATAAAAAATAATATCATATAGTACCACTTACTCCAATCAGCTGTTAAAACTATTAATTAAATTATGACTAAGAAATCAACTTTTAACAAACCTTTTAAACATGTACTTACAATCAAAAATGTTGTTTGACCTAGTAGTTCCAGGTCATTTATTTTCAACAATAATTACTTTACAACACTGTACATGTATAAATTTGGAATACCTGTTACATCCCATACATAAGTTGTAGGTCATGTTGAGGGTATTCAACTCTAACATAGAGGTCAATGAACTTTTACATGCTTTAATATTTTTTGTAGTTTTTAAACATATTCCAATATAAAAACAGGGTACTTTACTAGACAATAATTTAAAATTAAATAAGTGTTTTGTGAGTTAATTTTAATTTCATTGTGCTTCATTAAATATCACTCACCTTTCTAGGTTTTTATTATATTATTTTTTGATAATATTTTATAGAGATAGAAAGTCTCACCAATAAAAAAAAAATTGTAAAGGCAATTTTAAATCTTCAATTTTAGAATGCACAGTGTAATGTACCTCCTTAGTAGTATATACAAATAAATTACCTTGGTGTAGCTATATAAAAAAGTATATTATATACCACTTATTATACTAAAGTTAGCCCTAACCTTTTAAATAATTGTGATATTGTTATCTATTCACAAAGTACGTAACCAAATACAAATACTGTAATTTATGAAATTAGTTCAAACATTTAACTAGAACAAAACTGTCTTGTGTTTTAAACGCATAAGAGCTTGCTGTATTTTAAGGAATTTGAAAAACAAGACACAATATTCTCAAGCATGGGTATCAATTTGGTCACCTCTATTATTTATTTTATTTAATTTACAATCAAAAATGTTTATTCCATACATTCTCCATATTATGTTAATTACAAAAATTGCTATGGCCTATGTTAGTAAGGAATCTGTCATATCATAATATATTACATTAAATTATTTAAGTCTCTGGAACCAATATGAACTGAGTTCTAATACTTTAAAATTCCACAAGCAGGGTACTTTCAAATCATGCACATAAGACAGAATAAATGTAATACTACTAGTATAGTATTATATTATCTGTGGTAATACTAATGTAGTTAGACAAACATTTTAAATGTGTATTTTCGAAATGTAAATAATGCATTGTTATTCATTCATGCATTTTCCCCTATCCTGTACTGCATGCATTACATTTCACTATTTGCGTCGCATTGACGTCGGTAAGGTCAAGTAGCGCACTTATCATCGTCCTAAATGACTCTTATAGTGCTAACTTAAATAAACTGCTGCTTATGACGAAATCACGACGTGTTTGTACATAATAACCAATTTGTAATACATAATAATTATATGGAATTGCTTTTGCAAACTGTTTATCACCTTATTGCCAATTTACACTTCCTAGTATAAAAATCGTTAAGTCAAGTACTTTGTCCAGATTTAGTTTAGACAATTGTTTGAGAATACTTTATGTACAGCAGGCCATTAATGTTCCTAGAAATATCTATGTCATTTAAAAAAGTAACAAAAACTTTATTATCTATTTGACATTGCAATAACATGCAAAACACCCACTTTAATTATAAGTTCTGATTCACCTAATTTACTAGCTACTGCGTATCCCAAAGTATAGAAGCTGTAAAAAACTAATTTAGAACTATTTTTACGCTCATTCATATTCCAGGCATATGTTCGTAGTTTACAGACTTGTTTATACGTAGCCACACAGCAGGATTGTCGATAGACATGAAACGTGCGCGTGCGCCCCGGCCGCCGACCGACTCAAATATTTGCTTCACAGACCAATATTTGCTTACAAATGGAAATAGTGGAAATATACACACTAAACCTAGATGTAAGGAAACACTAGATTTTATCTAATGTGTGAAATCGTTAATTATGAAAATATTGTTGGGCTGTGGGAAAATTCAATTTTTGAGGAACTACTTACGGGTTGGAACGTCATCTATCTTATATCGTTAACATAATATCAATAGGTGCTTAATGCTAACAGCTAAGATGTGGAATTCTTCACCTACAATATGGCTAGCACGACAGGGAGAGAGCGGCTAAAACGCGAGATACTGTTGTACTCGTATAGAGATCTCACGTTTTATGTCGCTCTCGCGCAAGTCGCGCCCTATCGCTTTAGCCCTACAGATGTCCTATAACTTGGGTCTTTTCAAGAGAGTGTACAGGCACCTTTTATTTAATCATATCGTCGGCCCTCATGCCCTCATGCGATATTATGGTTAATATAATGATGGGATATATCTTAAAACAAAAAAAAATCAATATTTTTATGTTGAGTTTTTTCCATTAGTAATAATCGAATCGGGTATTTTCTTTCCATAAAAATTCAAACTTAATCATTGCAGCCATATAGGCGTTGCTCCCAATGTTTCAAACGGTCTGTGTACATACGGCAATTAATGTTCTATTTCCATTGTTTATATTATTAAAAAATCGGCGAACCCGTTATTCTATCAGCTGTCCTTGATGCCGCCGCGAAAACTTCCGCCCTGATTGCTGATTATGCTGGTTTTGAATATGAATGAAATATGATAATCCGGTACCTTCTTTTCATCGTATCATGCCTTTGTCGTTGTTCTGTGTAAAAGGCTCGGAAGGTTTGACTTAAAATTTTTATTATACAACACTGTGCCAAAACAGCGATATGTCCGAAATAAAATTGTTCTAGCTTGAAAGAAAGCGAAACATACAAGCCTCGTTATTATCATTTAGTTTAATTAATTTCTTTGATAAGATAATGATGATAGACCATGTAAGATAATAAAGAAATGCTGCTAACTTTTCCGACGCATTGGCAGACTGGCACGTGTAGATAGAAAAGTAATAAATGAACAATCACCTTTTTTCCGCTAATAAGTAATTAAATATACAGTTGTCTTTGGGTAACTAAAAGAATCCTAGTACAAAACATTAGAGCGTTGTGTGTCGTCCGCTTTATTATTTAAAATTTAGTGTCACGCCAAGTGCCTGACAGTTACGACTGGTGTGATTCATTACCTTTCGTTACTCATTCGTGCTAAAAATTGTCACAGGTTCACGCGTTATAACAAAAATTTCTTTTATTCTCGTACGTCACATTATCTAAACAAAATTCCCCATTAAAGTTTGAACCTTTAATTGAATGATTATGATTAGTGATTGGTTTGTTATGACTTCTTATTATCCCACCTATTTCTTACTTATTTCTGCCGGCAAGCAGTAATGTGAGCATTAGTGTGTTCCGGTTTTGAAGGGTAAAGGTGCTGGTGAAATTACAGTTACATGAGACTCGTCAACTTATGTCTCAGAGTGACGGGCGCAGTGGCAGTGCCCCTCAAAATTTTGCGATTTAAAGTTCTGAGTGGCAATGCAACTGTTATGGACAGGCGTGTACCTTATCATAAGGCGCACGAATTGTCCGTCCTGTCACTTGATATTATATAAAAAAATCTCAATGTAGAGTCAATTTTAACTGCCTCCTTGGACGAACGGTTACTATCACGCAGAGATCCTGAGTTCGATTCCCGGGCCGGGAGAAATATGTGTATTGCCTACATTTATTTTTCCTTGTGAGTTTGGGTGTAATTTGTGGTTGTCTATGTGTGTGTCCATGGCACCCGTGATACAGGGTTTTCCTAGTTGCGGGGCTATGAGTGTGTTGAGCTTATTTATTATTATTATTATTATTAATCCGTGTCTTCGAGAGTACATAACCGCAAAATATCGGGGCAATAAGAAAAAAATCACACCGTGGTTAGAAACATATAATTAGTGAACAAAAGTCCTAAAACTTTTTTATGGATGTCATACATGGATAGTTCTTTATTCTCGATAATCGGAGAGTGCCACTTTCATTTCACTTTTGTCTGTAAAAACCACTGTGGGAATTGCTAATAGCAATTCGGTACAAGGTTACAAGAATGACGCATAATGTCATAATACGTTGATTATTAATATTTAAAGAAATATTTAAAGAACTGCGAGTTGCCAGACCATGTAAAAATTTAAAGGGAAAATATAATTTTCGGCACCTATCACAGCACAGGTTTAGTAACACGCTTATTATCTAATCGTTAAGACATTGATGTTATTAATCGCTATATCCTATTCACAAGCGAAACAATAAAAGCATTGCGCAGTTCATCAAGTTTTATCTACCACTAAATTCAGCAACTGAACGAAGCGAGCGTGCTATGACGTTTTCTAATACCTATTTTTAGCAAATTTTATACTCCACGCCCCCCATTAACTCGCACACACGTCGCGTACATAATAACCACGTACAGAATGGGTCATAGTCACGCATAAAATAAGGCAGTTTTGGTGACTAAAAGTCAAGTAACAAAACCATCATAAGCTCCTTGATTTTGCACTACGTTACTTATATTGAATTCGGCGACTCATTTATCAACTCATGCACTATGCTAACGCGACCAAAAACTTCACAAAGTTCCACAAGACATCTTTTCTTATACTCGTGTGAAACCACAAGTTATGATATGTTACATCCTGTGTTATCTTTACACACAAACATATATCAAGGAAAAATCAGTATTCAGAACGACATCCGGCAAACAAACTCCTTTCGACTTTGCCTTACCGAGCTCGTAAAAAAGTCCAAAGCTGATTCCACATAAAAAAAGACTCCGTTTTCAGACAGTAAACAAAACGATAAACAATATTCAACTTGCGATTTGGTGAGTTCGTTATATTTTATTGATAACAGTCTGCTTGAAAAGGCTTGTCTGGTAGCCACCGACAGTTGTTTATAAAACAAGCCTTGAGTCTTATGACTTTGCACAGTCAACGTGAATGAATAAAGTAGGCAAATGTTAGCTTTGCTCATACTATTCATATTTGTTGATGAAGGCGTTTACGTCATTATTCTTGAGCGTTTACCCCATCTATATTCGTTAGTAATCTATTGCTATAAAAGTGTAGTAAAGTACGACAGCAATATCTCTATGAAGTTCAAGAGAGCAATTTTCCAAATAAAAGTCGAATGTTTTGCAAAAGTATTTTTTGATTAAATTTTCTGCAAATCAGCTATGGATTTGACAGGGAGTCCTCAAGTATCCCATGAATATAGTTCATTATAATAATAAGCACATAAGATTATTGTGTTTGATTGTGTTTATTTAAATAAAAAGAGTTGCCGTGAACAATATTTTTTATTTTTGTTACAGTGTTCGGAGTGTTATGCACAAATATATGGAGAAGAAGAATGAAGTTAATTTTGACAAAATATTTAATCAAGTTTTAGGTAAGTCCCACGTTATTTTATTATACATATACTGACTATATTGAATAGTAGTTTTATTTACAGTAGCAAAAGTATCATCACTAAGGTACAATTGAAATTAATCGGATAGTACGTTTACGGTGTTCTATTGTTCTGTATGGTGTTCTCATGCTAGAAAAACATCGTCTAATTACAAATTACTTACTTCTGTGACGCGGTGCAGGGCGTGTCTCAGCGTTATAAAGATTGCTAGGAATTACGTGTACATACTGCAACCAATGATTAATAAATAGTCGGTGTTTTCTCAAGTCTATTGTAATTTTAAAATGTAATATTTTATACAGAATTACTTTTTTATTTATGTAATTATTTGTATTCAGGTTACAAAGACCCATAAATACATATCTTATAGACTAACACTTATGTTAGTATATGCACACTAGTGTATGTACATAACAATATAATAAAACACTAATTACTAATTATTTACACGTATTGTCTGCGACGTGTGACGCAACAGGGGTGTCCGGTAACCGGCCTTAAAAACGTTAGTATGTAGTATGACACCCTTCGGCCAAAACTCTTCTTTCATGAAGGTCGACAGATGTTGATGCGGGACCTCAACTGCTCAACCCTCAGGGTAGCATTGGTTTTCACCCGTAACTCCACAATATCCGCAGATTTTGTAAAGTGATAAATCTGTGTCACGTATAATAATGTGATCAGTATCGCTGGACTCAATAAATGATTAGGGCCAGTCGGGGCGGTGGCACTAAGGTCACTGTTGATGTATTTTTTTTCCGTGCCACCTTTTTGAAATCGTCCTCGTCGCACTAGTCAACTCTTCCCGGTGGTACTGACGACACAGCTCCAGAGATGAGTACCCGTTTCTTTTTCTTCCCTTTGATAAGTTATGTACTTACTCATGAATGTTTATTAGCATGTACCAACAAATGTACGAATTGGCGATTTATGATTTGTTTCTTTTAAATTTATTTATAAACTTTACACCTGCCGACCAGCGTCATGCTATGCGGTGGAAATACAAAACCACTAACACAAAGTTCTCATGTGTGCATTTTCCAAGCCACATTTTTGGTCTTGATTCAAAGAGTAAATTGTGGCTGTGCAGGCGGGTGACCTGATATTTTAGTTCTACAATGGTCTTATTACGCAACCCGGATCCAAAAGGGTAACAGTTACTGTCGTTGCAGCATGGAAAATTGAACCAACTGTGCTTGCCGATACGGTAGAATTTACAATTCTTTTTTTTCGTAACCGATTTCGAACCCGGCACACTATAAATTGTACCTTATCTGCATGCACTTAGTATGTACGCTGCACACCTCCATCGGTTCCTGCTCGCAACTAATGGACATTGCCATGACAGAAAGCAAGTTAAATGTTTTCAGCATGTTATACACTTTCTGTAAGCCGCTCGCGTCATTACAAGGGTCTGTACGGAATATGAAACTCCGAGCCTTCTCTATGAAACATTGTTATTTACACTTCATATTTTTAACATTTCTTCATTCTAGTATTCGCAACATTCTAGTATCGTTCGTTCCTTTGAATAAGATGCTTTATATTCTGAGATGAAATCGAAGTCCAAAAATGTAAACACAACTGTCAACAATAATTTTTTTTAACAGGTTCTGCTGTTCATATTATGAGCAATAATTATAATGGAAAAACCTCCTTTTGGGTTAAAAAACTTACATAACGTTTTAGAATCATTTTGTGTCGTAAAATATTTTCAATTCAGAAATTATGAGGAAATGAGAAGGGCCACGACCCATTCATAATTGCTCCCAGCCCCGGCGCGAAAGAAAATCTCAGAATTTATATTATTCTGTTGCTTATTTAGTTACAATTGGCGAAAAACCGATTTGTAGCTAAATAAGCATCCGATTATCCTATCATTACTCATGGTGACGCATACAGTCTCTGTTCTCCAGGTGGCATGGTTATGACTTTTATCACTTAAGAGTCATTGTCCTGGTCATTGTTTGGAATCGTAGTTTTCTCAGTGTCATTTGGCAAACTTCTTAAAGATCAATTCCAACTATCATTGAGTCTGTCAACAAACTTTGTTTTCTGTAAACAGCGCTTTATCTATTATTATAGATGTATTGCAAATATTCTGCAATTAAATATATTGCAGCTGGTGAACATTATGAAGCCATTAAATATCTCGTAGAGTGGTGCTTGGTATGGACATCTCTTGTGACGTTCAGTTCCATAGTCACTTAGATGGCAAAGTCAAGCTGACGTCCAAAGAGCTCGGTGTGCTCAACAGGACAAAGCGATATTTCACTTTGGAGCAGAGACTGATATTTTATAAGTCGCAAATCCGTCCCCACATGGAGTACTGCTGCCATATTTGGGCGGGAGGTCCTGGATGCTAGCTTGGACCCTTTGACTCGGTTCAAAGACGTGCTATGAGAATTGTTGACGATTCTGTGCTTGCAGACGATATTGAACCACTACCTTCGAGGAGAGACAGCCTCCTTATGTCTGTTCCAACGCCTGTACAATGGCCAATTTTCTGAAGAACTGTTTGACATGATGCCAACAGCGACATTCTATTATCGCACCGCTGGCCACCGGCAGGGACTCTATCCTCACACTCTGGAACCGAGTCGATCTTGTACTGTACGGTTTCGGAGGACCTTCCTCTCACGTACAATTAGGTTGTGGAATGAACTCCCTTTTCCCGCAGAACTACAACATGGAATCCTTCAAAAGGGATTTGAGAAAGGTCCTAGGGGATGGCAACGCGCTAGTGGCGCCACTGGTGTTGCAGGCGTTCATAAGCGACGGAGACCGCTTTCCGTCAGGCGGGCCGTATGCTTGTTTGCAGCGTACATAATATAAAAAAAAATGAAGAACTTTACATTTCCTCTTAAAAATTGTATTAAATTGATAATTCAAGCTCTTTATTACTATTCATATACTGATTTCTATAAATTGTATATACATATATATACCTGTATTACACATTTGATATAATCTTATCGTTCTGTGATAAGGTTAGTGAAACGCCCCTTTTGTTAAAAGCGTAATTAATTACACAATGCAATATTATTATTGTTTATCGCAAACCAGCCATATTAATTGCAATTATCAACGATATTACGCATACAAGCATGTAATTTACTCCCACTTTTTTGACGACATCGGTGATCTAACGTTTTGTATTGTGGGCGGTTGATGAGATCCTGCGTTCAATTTCCGGTAAGACCAATTTGGGAAATGAACTTTTCTATATTGGTCCTGGTCTGGGTGTTCTGAGTAGTGAATTCCGTTGCTCCTGTACTCATACTACAGGGGATTTCTTAGTTTGAAACCAGGTAATTGTTGTAGTTGTTTAGCATATTATTAGTTTTACTATATTATTATTTTTCAGTAAAAATTGTTATACACAAAATTGTAAAAGACACAGGTGCAATCAGTTACATTTACCACAAACTATAAAAAAACAATACGTAAAATCGTCTATTATGTTCATTAAATACATAAATCGAACACAAAGAAAAATTCTATCGATCCGACAGGACTCGAAGCTACGACCACGGGATTTCGTCCCCATTGCTCGTCCAACTGAGCTACAGGTCGAGTTAACCCTTCTATGTGTCTGTTACAGATCTTCGCATTGAGTTTTCGGCTTTCGATGCCGTACCCTGTCGAGTCGATAGAATATTTCTTTGTGTTTCACCTTTGTACTTAATAAATTATAGCAAACTAGTGGATTTACATCACAAAAATAAAAACAAATGAATAATACGTCTATTATGAATAGTTTAAAAGTTTAGTTTACTATAGTAAAAAAATTATTTTCGAGTACCACTCGCCCGCTCACGTTCGCTGTAAGCTATTTTAAGGTATACGATATATCCAAACTTCCATTGAAACGGTTCATCGTTTGTTTAAACACACTGCCGCCCTTTGTTCTTTTCGTTTCGAACTCACTTTATCTGATTGTACAACAGACCTCTTTGACACGTCCCAATTGTGTTTATTGAAACTCCACGTACGGCTATAGTAAAAAAAGCGGCGTTTACAAACCTTGTAAAGTACATAAGAGTTGTTCAAAAGATGGTATTGATCAAACATCCAAGAACACGATCTGGAGAGGTCCTATTATTCGAAAAGATTTCCGTCTATACTTGAGAAGCTGCTGGAATATCCAGCCTGAAATATGAAAACTGTTTCTTTAATATAAAAAAATCCTGACTGGAATTTCTTTTTCTTAAGGCAGTAGAACGTTATTGCATATCGATGCCTTATTTTCTCAAATATCTTATAAAGTGTTGACATTCATAATGAGATGCATTGACTTACAAATAAATGGACGACGGGTCTAATACAAAAACCACGAAAAAAATGTCCCAAGTCAACCTATTTAAACGTAGTGACATGTAAAGGAATATGAAAAGGCTAAAACGTTGAATTTAAATTGTAATGTCATCGCAGTACTGTCTAATTTTGCTTGCAACAATTGAAAGGCGCAAAAAACACCATATTCAGCTTCTACTGGAAACTTACCAAAATGCACCATATGTAGCTTCTAGCGAAAAGTACTTGAACACAGGTATAATGGAGTAGCCTTTATTATTTATAAATAAATTTTATATGTAAATGTTGAATTTTATACAATGCCATTCATTACGAGTTAGGGTGTCTGATTTTTTTTCGTGAGTTTCGAGAATTCTCGTACTCGATTTCTCGAGTTATTCGAGAATTTTTTTTAAAACCGTAAACAATCAGCTCAATCAACTATAAAACTAAATGTGAACTTTTCGAAAGTTGTTTTGGCCTGGGTGTTCTCATGTGTCGCCGACTATACAAATGTGTTATGAGATTCAAATAAATTTTATTAGTGAGGCAGATTCCCTTAAGAATGATTAGGAATACTCTAATGTCAACTTACAAACTACTACTACTAGAGTGGGTGCTGTTTGTAAGTTGACATTAGTTCATATTTATTATTCATCATAGATAAAAACAACCTGAAAGAT